TATTGACAGAAGACGGGTAAGAAAAGAAAGCCGCCATTCCAATCTAACGCCGGACGCTTATAGAAAGAGGACCTATAGCAGACTAAAAGCAGCCTTATGGCCCATGCCAGGACCTGCAGTTCGTCCATAAGTTGCCATCGCATAGAACCGTAACCAAAAAAACTAATCAGTCACAGAACCGGGCATGTAGGACGATCAGCACATCAACCGAACCCGGGTAATCGGGGTCAATCATATGTACGACATAATCGAGGTAGTCGTAGCCGTCTGACATAGCTCACTTGGCGCACAGAGACGCAGACACACAAAGCGACCACCGTGGAGCGCTTCGAGGGCGACGATCGCTGGGACGCCATTCTCAGGATGAACGAGCAGTGGCTGATATGCGCGACTGGGGCGACTCTCTGGTTCTGCATCCGCCGACAGAAGAGGCGGTCGCGAACCTTGTCGAAGGCACTGGCCTCGATCGGCATGACCTCGTGTGCGACATGCCACGCGGCTTTGGGCTGGCAACTGTGGAGAAGATTGCAATCAACGCTGCGATGGCAGGCGCAAAGCCTGAGCAGATGCCCGTCATCATCGCCGCAGTTAAGGCGCTGTCAGAGGTTGGCGAGCACGGCGGCAAGTCGCTGCTGATGTCCACCAGCCCGCATGCGCCCATGTTGGTAGTCAACGGACCCATCGCAAAGGAGCTCGGCATCAATCCGCGCTCAGGGCTTGGTCCCGGACGCGACAACGAAGTCAACATCACTATAGGGCGCGCATTCTCGTTGTGCCTGCGCAACCTCGGTTACTGGTATCCCGGTCAGATGGACATGGACACCATCGGCACCACGCGCAAGTTCGTCCACTGCATCGCGGAAAACGAAGAGATGAGCCCGTGGCAGCCGTTCCATGTGGATCAAGGCTTCCGCGCGGACGAGAGCGCTGTCAGCGTTTTCATCACGGACGGCGAACTCGATGTGCAGGACCAGGGCAACACCTCCGCAGAGGGCCTTCTGAAGACCCTCGCCTACGGCAGCACATTCGGCACTCGCGGACTCGGCGCGAGGCACACGGGCGAGCGCCTCATCTTCATGCCGCCGGATGTCGCGCGACCTGTTGGCGGCGAGGGCTTCTCCAAGCAGGAGGCGAAGCAATTTATCCACTTCCACGCCAACACAAGCCTGGGCAAGCAGATTCAATACATGCCCATAGACGACGCTCGCGTGGGGAAGCAGTGGCAATGGCTGAAGGACAGAACCGAGCAGGAACGGCTCGACATTGAGGTACCGCTGCTGGAAGACGTTGACCGCTGGTTCATCGTCGTAGTGGGCGCAGACCGCGCCAAGACGCTGGTGATGCCCACCGGCGAGGGCGCATCCACAGTTGGCATCGACCAGTATATGCCGTAAACCATTGAAGCAAATCGCCGTCTCTCTAACATGTCAGGGGCGGCGATTTTAACATCATCCCAGATAACAACAGACTGATCTCGCAATTGGATCGGTTTGGCGTGCTTGACCAAGATTCGCTTCACATTCAGGTTTTCAGGGACAAATAATGCTCAACACCTACATAAACTTCAAAGGGGATTGCAGAGAGGCTTTGAGTTCTACCGCTCCGTATTCGGCGGCGAGTTCGCCATCTTGGAAACGTTCCGCAACGGCCCGCCGGATATGAGCATACCGGAAGATGAGATGGACAATATTATGCATGTTTCCTTCCCAATCGGCGACAGCGTCCTGATGGGAAGCGACACTCCATCAATCTTTGAAGGGTCACATGTCGTTGGCACCAACATTTCCATCAGTGTCAGCCCCGAGAGCAAGGATGAAGCCAACAGACTATTCGGGAGCCTGTCCGAGGGTGGTTCAGTAGCCATGCCCATGGCAGACATGTTTTGGGGTCTACTCGATGTGCAATTGCACGACAGTTCGGCATCAACTGGCAGATTAACTACGAGCAAGCGCCCGAGTAAGAACCGGGCAGATGTTGTCGGCGTATCCGACAATACGATTAACTGAAAGGACAAATCCAACCAATGGGAATCCTTGTTGATGAGAATATGCGCCTGATGGTGCAGGGCATCACGGCAGAGAGGGCAGCTTTCACGCCCTGCGCTGCCGCGAGTACGGTGCGAATCTGGTAGCGGGCGTGACACCGGGGCGCGGCGGGCAGATATTCGACGGCGACGTGCCTGTCTTCAACACCGTCAGGCAGGCCGTCGACGAGACGCAGGCGAAACTGCGCTCTCATATTCGTGCCGCCGCCCTTCGCCGCGGACGCAATCGTCGAGTCGGTTGACGCGGGAATCCCCACCATCGCCTGTATCATCTAAGTGAAGTGTATCCTCAGCCCGATTGAGTGATATACCACGCAGGCGTCAAGCCGCACGCTAGCCGCGACAAGCCCGTTACACTCATCGGACCCAACTGCCCCGGCATGATTACAAAACGTCTGGACGCCCGGCGCATGTCAAGTAGGACATCATGCACCGGCCAATGATCCACAGCGCCCGCAGGGTAGCGTACGTGTCCGCTAGCGGCAATTACGCTCACCTACGAAGCCGTAAGCCAGCTCACCGGCAGCTCGAGCATACTTTTGGGCAATATCAAGATGCTGTGTGGCATCGGAGGCGATCCTGTCAATGGCTCGTCATTCGAGACAATGCTCAGATGTTCAACGACGATCTGACGTCTGAGACGGATGGGGTTTTGGCCGCGTGAGGATGATGGTCGCGAGAGTTGGCGAACATGACGTCCGGAGCAGGAAATGTCTGTCCGACATATACATCAGCAGCGACTTCAACAAGCCCATGGCGGCGTTCATAGCAGGACGCAGCGCACCCGCTGGCAAGCGCATGGGACACGCGGGTGCCGTTATTACCGGCAGAGCCGCCCGCGCCGAGGAGAAGGAGAAGGCGCTCGCCGCAGCGGGAGTCGCCATAGTCCCCGGTCCCGGCGAAATCGGCTACACCTTCCAGCAGGTCATCAACGCATAACGGCGGCTGAATTCGCTTAATTCAGCCGCCGTTGATTGAGTCTGATCTGAAATCAGTTCTTTAACTGTGGGCCCCTAGCTGCTCCGAGGCTCGAGATTGTCCGGGTAGCAGCTGTCACTCGGAGCGCTGTCGCTGTTCGTATTATCAGGACACTTCGTTTCATCGAAATCGGCATCATGGATGTTCTTCGCCTTCCTCAAATTCTTTACGTCTCCGAGGTCGGCATTTTCAAAGTCCGCGTCCTTTACATCGGCTTTGTCGAAGTTGGCATCTTCAAAATCGGAGTCGGTGAAGTCCGCATCTTCTAAGTTGGCTCCTGTGAAATCGGCATCCCTGAAATCGCAGTCCTTGAAAGTTCCTTCGGAAAGATTTGCTTCTTCAAAGTCCACTTCCCGGAAGTTGCAATCTTCAGGCGCGTCCATCCCGGAAAGGTCGGCCTTGCTGAGGTCGCACCCTTGAATTCCGTCTTGAGTCAATGACAGCCTGCTGGAGTTTCACACTCCTCAGCTTGGCGTCGCTTAAATCAGCGCCGCTGAAGTCGGTATCGATCACCGTCGCGTTTCTGAGATCCGCATGCTGAAGATCCACGCCTACAAACTTGGAGTTTGACAGGTCCGCGTTAATGAACCCGATTTCCACGAGCTGGACTTGCGGGTCGAAGACAATGTTAGTTAGGATCGCACTACGGAACATAGCGTTGTCGACTCTTCTTTGGCCAGATCTGAATTTCGTTCCCACAACTATTACTCGATCCAGAACGGCATTCGGAAACTTCGCATGTCTGAGGTCGGCGCCGCTCAAATCAGCTCCGCCCAGATCGGCGCCGCTCAGGTTAGCCTCTCTCAGATCAGTATCCGTCAAGTTCGCCCCTTCAAGATCTGCGTTGGCTTAGTCGGCCCCGGTGAGGATGGCACTAGCGAAATCTGCGTCAATCAGGATTGCATCGTGAAATTTGGCGCCCTGCAGATGGGAGCTGAAAAGTCGGCTGCGTGAGGTTGAGCCCACTAAGTCTTTTTGTCAACGGGCATTTTCCGCAGAGGTCTGCCCAGGTGCAATATGGTGCATGGTTCGGGCGTAGGCGTCGCAGTCGGCTCTGGTGTAGCGGCTTGGTTCAGGAACAGGGTGCAGTTGAGCTCCGGGCGTATGCGGTGGCGGTTCGGGTGTAGGAGTCGCAGTTGGAGGTACGGGAGTTCGTAGGGCAGGTCGACCGAGCGTCAGTTGGCTCGGGGGTACGGCGTGTTCGTAGTAGGTACCAGGCGTATTGGTCGGAGGCACGGGCGTGTTCGTCGGCGTCACGGCGTATTAGTCGGAGGTCACGGGTGTGTTCGTCGGCGGCACCGGCGTATTTGTCGGAGGCACTGGTGTGTTCGTCGGCGGCACCGGCGTATTTGTCGGAGGCACCGGTGTGGGAGCAGCAGGCGTTACCTGGTTCTGCGCCGTTACCGGCAGTTCCGGCTGCGTGCTGCCGTCGTCACATGCGACAAAGAACGCCGCTAAGAATATCGTAAGGGCGAGGGCTACGAATACTCTGATTTTCATGGATGCTCCTTGGTCGGCTGCGGATCGCCGCCGATGGGTCAACGTTATGCCCTCAGCAATATCACTTGCCTGAAGGATAACACAATTCAGAAATAGATTAGAGAAAGTCTAATTTTGTTCAATTATTGGGAAAAACCTTATGTCGCGTCAACCGCTTTTGGGGTTTCAAATATCCTAGAATGCACGGCAGATAGCCTCAAATTAGGCATTCCTACCTAACAACTATGGGGCAAGCGGAAGTTATGCTATGTTGAAATAGAGGGATCAGACAAATAAGGCCTTTCCTTACTGGTTCCCTTTTCAATCGAAGCAAATGCGAAGTCTTGGAGGTGGAGGGATGACAGAGGCGAACATCACCGTGTATGGAGCGCCGTGGTGCCCTGACTGCACACGCGCGAAGCAGTTTCTAGGCGAGCAGCGCGTAGATACAACTGGGTGGATATTGATCAGGACGAAGATGCCCGCGCATACGTGCAGCAGGTCAACGACGGCAAGCAGATCATTCCCACCATCATATTCGAGGACGGGTCAGCTGCTGGTCGAGCCTTCCAATTCGGAACTTGCCGCAAAGCTCGGCATCCACAACCCAAGGCGCGCCGTGACTTCTACGACTTGATCGTGGTTGGTGGCGGCCCCGCCGGACTGTCAACTGCGCTGTATGCCACGCGCGAGGGAATCGAGACGCTTGTTGTGGAGAGCAGCGCAATCGGCGGTCAGGCGGGCGTAACAGAGCGCATTGATAATTATCTCGGCTTTCCGGAGGGCGTAGAGGGCGCGCGCCTCGCCGACGACATGCGCGCTCACGCGGAGCGATTTCGGCGCCGAGATGCTGCCGGCTCAGACGATCGCAGAAGTACGCGCGGACGGCAGCTACCGCACCGTTATCACCGAGTCGGGCGATGAGTACAGCGCGATGGCGTTGCTTCTCTCCGTGGGAACGCGCTATCGCAGGCTGAATGTGCCCGGCGAAGAGGATTTCATCGGCGCGGGAATTCACTTCTGCGCCACCTGCGACGGGCCATTCTACAAGGGGGAGCAGATGGTCGTCATCGGCGGCGGCAACAGCGCCCTCGAAGAAGGCTTGTTCCTGACGCGCTTCGCCGAGAAAGTAACGCTGCTCGTCAGGGGCGACAGCCTTCGCGCGAGTCAGATTCTGCAGGAGAAAGCCGCAAATCACCCGAAGATGGAGATACGCTTCAACACCACGGTTCACGAGTTTCGGGGAAAACGCAGACTCTCCGGCGTGGTGGTGAAGGACGGCAAAAGCAACGCTACTGAAGAGATTCACCCCGGCGCGGTGTTCGTCTTCATCGGGCTGGACCCTAACACAGGCTTCCTGTCCAACCTGGTTGAACTAGACGACTGGGGCTTCGTTCGCACTTTCGACAACATGCAGACGAGCGTAGAAGGTATATTCGCCGCTGGCGACGCACGAGCGGGCAGCACTAAGCAGGTAGCCAGCGCAGTCGGCGAAGGCGCGGCCGCAGCCCTGATGATCAGGCAATATCTGGAAAAGCTGGGCGGCAGGCGTGGATACAGGGGCGATTAATCTGCTACGAAGATCAATCGTCGCTTAGCAGCCCCATCTCGATTTTGCGTTCGACGACACGTCTCACAAATCGTTCGTCCGACGCCAGATCCGCCAGACTGCCGCCGGCGAGTTGAAGCGCCCAGCTATATGTATTCGCGATGGCTGCTTTTCCGCCTTGCAGGACAGGCGTGTCTTCCCGCACAGTGTCGAGCAAACCCACTACCTCTGTCGCAATCCGCTGTTGAATACGGGCGGATACTTCCTGGGCGCTGCCACCTTCAGAAAGAGAGTCCGTGTATCGCTGCATTGCATCCAGGTGCAATGCAAACGTGCGTGGATAGAACGAGACCATTATGTTCCAAGGATTGCCCTCAGGTTCCTGATCGCCGCCGTGCCGGAAGTCGGTGCGCAGAATTACCGAGGGAATATCCAGCGTCTTGGCGTACATGTACTCGGCGACCGTGCCTGAGTCCAGGTCCGACCCGTCAAAATTGAATAGCGCCAAATCACACTGCATCAGCGCCCGCAGATTCTGGTCGCGTATTTCAAGCGACGAAACTCCCCGCTGCTCGAGGTTCTGAGGTAGGACGCAGCGATAGCGTCCTTGCGAAACGTTCTCGATGTGCGACGCCAGCAAGGCATTACCCTGAAGAATTTTGTGGTCGAATAGGGGCCCGGCAAAGTAGATGGTGTACTGCATAGTCATAGTCTTTTAAGCTGTCTCCTCATTTCTGCAAGTGCCTCTTAACTTTAGCACAGTAGCCCCTTCGCAAATTTTTCAGACACAATCCGATGCACGGCATCATCCAGGGATCCATCTCCCGAGATAAGCTGCGCAAGCCGGCCGCCCGCGAGCCGCACCGCCCAGCGGTATGTGCCTTCCGCACCTGCCCGCCCACCCTCAATGATGGGCGCGACGCTCCGAACTTCGTCCAACAGTTCAATAACCTCTTTTGCAATCCGCCGCTGAAAGCGAGCGGAGACCTGTGTTGCGTCTCCGCCCAGCGCCAGCGCATCCTGATACCACTGCATGCCGTCGAGATGCAGGATACGAGTGCGCGGGTAGAACGACGCCATCAGGTTCCAAGGGTCGCCCTCGGCATTCTGATCGCCGCCGCCGCGAAAGTCGGTGCGGAGTATCACCGCAGGGATGTCCAGCATTTTGGCGTACATGTACTCCACTACCGCGCCCGGAGGCAATTCCGAGCCGTCGAAATTGAACAGCGCAAGGTCGCACTCCATCACCGTGCGCAAGTCCTGATCGCGTATCCCCATCGGGCCTATGCCCCGCTGTTCAAGGTTCTGCGGCAATATACATCGATACCGCCCCTGCGAATCGCTGTCGATGCAAGACGCCAGCAATGCGTTGCCCGCAAGATGCTTGTGGTCGAAAAGCTGCCCCGCGAAGTATATCGTGTATGATTCTGCCATAGTGGTGGAACTGCCTCCTAATTCCTGCTGGTTCGTCGCCGACATTAGCCCAAAAGCCCTTTCGCCAGCTTGTCTGCAACCAGTCTATGGACTGCATTTTCCAGGGATTCGTCGGCCGCCATGCGTTCCGCAAGCCCGCTGCCCGGAAACATCAGCGCCCAGCGATACAGATGCTCAACGCCGTCAGGTGCAGCGCCAAGCTGCGGCGATTCCGCTCTCACCGCGTCCAGCGCATCCAGAACGGCCCGCGCAATCCTGTCGCAGTAGCGCGATCCTGCATCCGCCGCCGTGTCCGATTCGCGGCGCTCCTCCTGATACCACGCCATCGCGTTCAGCGTTACATTGCGGGTGCGCGGGTAAAAGGAAGCCATCAGGTTCCAGGCGTCGCCGTCTGTGTCCTGGTCGCCTCCGCCGCGAAAGTCGGTGCGAAGTATCACCGCGGGAATATCCAGCAGCTTGGCGTACACGAACTCTACGACGGTGCCTGAGTCCAGGTCCGAGCCGTCAAAATTGAAGAGCGCCAAGTCGCAGGTCGCAACGCCTATGAGATCCTGGTTGCGAATATCAACCGCACGAGAGTCGGTCTGCTCCAGGTCCTGCGGCAGCACGCAACGATACCGCCCGTTCGACAGGCGTCTCGATATGCGCCGCCAATAGCGCGTTTCCTATCAGGTGCTTGTGGTCGAACAGCTCGCCCGCGAAGTATATCGTGTATTCCATAATTGTAACCCTTTACATTCCTCTTAAAACTACTCAACCATATTAGCCCCCGTGTCAATCCTGACTTGTCGTTTCCAAGTTGACGATGCAAAGGGGCGGTGATACTGTTTGCCATATCACCCTGATTGTACCGAAGGGAGGCGTCATGAGGCTGGAAGGCAAGGTTGCGATTATTAGCGGCGGCGCGCGTGGAATGGGCGCTGCGGAAGCGCGAATGTTCGCCCGCGAGGGCGCAAAGGTCATGATCGGCGATCTGCTCGAAGAAGAGGGCAACAAAGTCGCCGCCGAGATTGGCGAGGCAGGTGGCGAGGCGCTCTTCGTCAGGCTTGATGTAACCGACGAATCGAGCTGGCAAAGCGCCGTCGAAGCCGCGGTCGAGCGCTTCGGCAAAGTGGACATTCTGGTGAACAACGCTGCCATTCTTCGAGTTCAAGGCTTGCTCGAAACCACCGAAGAGATTTGGGACGAGGTGATGGACGTGAATGCCAAGGGCACGTTCCTCGGCACGAAGAGCGTCATCGCCGAAATGCGAAAGGCTGGCGGCGGCTCCATCATAAACATATCGTCTGGCGCGGGCATCACGGGCAGCGAGCGCAACACCGCCTACCACGCCTCTAAGGGCGCGGTGAGGATATTCACCAAGGCAGCGGCGATACAGTACGCGGGCGAGAACATTCGCGTGAACTCAGTGCATCCCGGTCCGATTGAAACCGACATGCTTGCGTCATCTACGTCGGTAGAAGGTGGCAGAAGACCCGAGGACATCCCTCTCGGTCGCTACGGCAGGCCGGAAGAAGTCGCCTATGGTGTGCTCTATCTCGCATCCGATGAGTCGTCGTTCGTGACCGGAAGCGAAGTGATCATAGACGGCGGGCGCACTGCGGAGTAGAGAATGGGCGGTCGCCAGTCGCCATCTCACTCATTGAAAACTGCTTGATATAACGCAATTATCTTCAAGGAGATAGAACAATGGAACTTCAAGAAGCCGTAATAGTTAGCGGAGCAAGGACGGCCGTGGGCAGGTTCGGAGGCGCGTTCAAGGATGTCGCAGCGCCCGATCTGGGCGCAGAGGCGATCAAAGCTGCGCTGGAGCGCGCAGGGATCAGACCCGAGCAGGTCGAAGAGGTCGTGATGGGCAACGCATTGCAGGCGACCGAAGCCGGCTACGCCGCAAGGCTGTCCTCGCTCAAGGCAGGTATCCCGCAGGAGACACCTACGATCGCCATCAATCGCCAGTGCTCATCCGGGCTGGAAGCCATCAACATGGCGGCACAGCTCGTCCGCACGGGCGAGGTTGACATCGCAGTCGCCGGCGGCATGGAGACATGAGCCAGACGCCGTACCTGCTCGGCTATCAGGCGCGCTTCGACGGCTTGCGAATGGGCGACGCGACAATGCGAGACGGATGACCGAGGGGCTTGGCTGCCCGGTCAACCGCTACCACATGGGCGTGACGGCGGAGAATGTCGCGGAACGATTCGAGGTCAGCCGCGAGGATCAGGACGAACTGGCGCTCATCAGCCACCAGCGCGCCGTCGCTGCCATAGCGGGCGGGCGCTTCAGCGAGCAGATTGTGGATGTCAGCGTTCCCCAGCGTCGTGGCGACCCTGTGGTCGTCTCGCAGGATGAAGGACCCCGCGCAGACACCACGCTTGAGCGCTGGCGTCGCTGCGTCCCGTATTCAAGCGAGACGGGAGCGTTACCGCAGGCAACGCATCCAGCATCAATGACGGCGCTGCCGCAGTGGTCATCATGTCCGCGACGAAGGCAGCCGAGCTAGGCATACAGCCCAAACTACGCTGGCATACGCGCGGTGTCGCAGGAGTCGAGCCCGCCATCATGGGCACAGGACCAGTTCCCGCTGTGCGAAAGGCGTTGAACAAGTCCGGCATGAGCATAGAAGACATAGACCTGATCGAGCTGAACGAGGCGTTTGCGTCGCAGGCGCTCTACTGCATGCGCGAACTCGACATGGATTAGACAAGACCAATGTCAACGGCAGCGGCATCAGCCTAGGCCACCCCATCGGCGCAACAGGCGCAATAATGACGGTTAAGCTCATGGAAGAGATAGGCTTGCGCGACCATGAGCTTGGCTTGGTGACAATGTGCGTCGGCGGCGGTCAGGGCGTGGCGACTATCTTTGAGCGCGTGGGCTAGGTGGAAGTCAGCGACCGTTAATCGGCGGCATTCCTTTCAACGTCATCACTCCGCCCTGTAGAGCAATCGCTTACACGCTGTGCAGGGCGGATTTTCCGATGTAGGGTCATCCTGGCGATAGCCACATCCACCGCGCCTGCCGATTCCGACGAGTCCAATCTCATGCCGTGGCTTGAGTTGTACGCAAATCCAGTCGCGCCCTAACCGGCTATTTCAGGCACTAGCCCGTCTGCGGTGCTGTCCCGCTCACACCATCGGCCTCCAGCGCGGCAATCGTGTCCGCGTCCATACCCATCAGTTCGCCGAAGACCTGCTCGTTATGCTCGCCTAAGCGCGGCGCGTGCCAGCGCACTCCCGGCGGCGTCTTCGACATTTTCCACGCAGCACCCGGCATGAAGTATGGCCCGCACGAGGGATGGTCAACAAACTCCAGCAAGCCGCGCTCCTGATATTGCGGGTCGTTGAAGATTGCCTCACCTGTCATTACAGGCGTAGCAGATACGCCCGCGTCCTGAAGCATGCGCATCACATCGGCAGCGGGCTTGTCATGAGTCCCCGCGATATGAGCGCGTCCAGCGCGTCGTGGTTGCGATGGCGCGCGAGGATGTCGCAGTATTCCGAGTGCGTCGTCAACTGAGGCATGTCCATAGCGGCGCATAGACGCTGCCACTCCGCGTCGTCGGCAACGGCGATCGTAATCCACTCGTCTTCGCCATGGCAGGGATAGGCGCCGTGCGGTGCGTACACGGGATGCCGATTGCCTCGATTCTCAGCGCGCCTCCCATTCATCTGAAAGCCTAGCAGGTGCTCGCCGATGGTCATTATCGCCGATTCCAGCTGCGACAAATCTATGAAGCAGCCCTTGCCCGTGCGCCGCCGACTCCACAGCGCAGAAAGCAACGCACCCGCCGCGTGCGCCCCGCTGATGGGGTCGCCGAAGTTCACTCCAGACTTCACAGGCGCGTCCTCGCCGCGATAGCCGTTCATCGCCGAGATGCCGCCTAGCTGCTCCTGCCCAATGCCGTACTGAATGAAGTCCTTCCACGGCCCTACACTGCCAAACGCGGGCATCGAAACCATGATGATGTCCGGGCGTATCGCCCTCAGAGCCTCGTAGCCAAGTCCGCGCCGCTCCATCAGTCCCGCCCGGAAGTTCTCGACTACCACATCGCTGATGCTTACCAGCTCCTCGATGAGCGCTTTGCCTTTCGGATGGCGCATCTCGGCGGTGATGCTAGCTTGCTCATGTGCAGTGTATTGAACCAGCCGCTGCGATTCCACGGATCTGCGCCGCGCTCGCCGTCCGCAGGTTGCCCGAGCCGACAATCATTCGGTGCGGATCCCACGCCCGTACCGACTCCACCTTGATGACCTCAGCGCCCATGTCAGCGAGCAGCTTCGTCGCATGTGGGCCCGCCCATATCCGTGAGAAGTCCAGAACGCGCACACCTACGAGCGCGCCGTTGGCAGCTTGCGAATCAATCATGTATGCCTATCCCTTTCATACGGAATATCCACATGTTAGCCTACTTGGTGATATTCTCAATACCGAACAGACACCGCAAACCCGCATGTGTAAAAGGAGCATCGCATTGCTGACCATACCAGAAGCGTTCGCCAACGACATGATTGCCCACTCACAGCTGGAGGACCCCAACGAATGTTGCGGCATATTAGCAGGCAGGAACGGCTCGGTGGCGAAGCTGTACCGCATTGCCAACGCCACTCCAAGCCCATATCGCTATGTGATGGAACCGCAAGAGATGCTCAACGCAATGCGCGATGCCGACGCGAACGAATGGGATATAACTGCGTTCTACCACTCCCACACACACAGTCCCGCGTATCCCTCGCCGACCGATGTGCGCATGGCGCAGCAGAGCGGCTGGCTCGGAGACGACATCTACTACATCCTCGTGTCGCTGGAAGATAAAGCCAACCCCCAGATCCGCGCATTCCGCATCATGGAAAGCGGCGACATCGTGGAGCAGGAATTCGCCATCGCCGACTGAGCATCCTCGTTCGACAACCATCTCAGCCATCTTCTCGGACTACTCACTCTGCTAACTTTCCATGTCTCTCCTCCGTTTAATTCCTTGAGCGGCTCACTCTGTAGGCAACACGATATGCAGCAAGAGAGAACGGAGAGCAGTAATGAAGAAGAAGTTACTAGGAGGCTTCTCGTTGTGGCGATTCTCGCCACGGCGGGTTTAGTGGCGGCGCGAGTCAACACTAGTGAGGCGAGCGCCAAGACGCACACCGAGCAGCGAGGAGTATTCGACGACGATGGGATCAGCGCACAGCAGAGCGAATCAACTGGCAAGCCATACATCGGCATTGCGGTGACCTCAGTTCAGGAAGACAGCGCGACAGACGGCGCGCTGATAGTCCGCGTCGTGGAGGGCAGCGCGGCGGACGGCAACCTAGAAGTGGACGACATCATCACCGCCTTAGACGGCGAGTCTGTTGGCGGACCCCGCGATGTGGTGAGAATAGTGCACGAGCATTCGCCCGGCGATGTCATCGTATTCAGCGTGGTGCGAGACGGCTCAAGTATGGACATCAGCGTCACAGCCGGCGAATATGAGGCTTCGGGACACGAAGGCAGGGCGGCAAGCGCGGCGGCCATTACAAGTCCGGCATCTTCGACAAGTCTAATGAGCAACTCGTCCTGTCGGACACGCGCTACATGACTGATGACGGCGTAAAGACCGTGCGTAAGGCTGTGGGAACAGCCCAGAACATCGACGCGAGCGCAGCCACATTCGACCTCCTGCTGCGCGATGAGTCCGAAACGCTGTCGTTCACCATAGACGACGACACCAAGATAGCGACAGACACCGCGGAGGGCGAAGCAACCCTTTCCAACCTGACCGCGAGATGCCACCACAATGGTCGTCGAAGTTACTCTCCCTGACGGCACAAGCGAAGTTCAGTACGTAGCTCAGGGCGAGTTCTCGCTCTTGGTGCATTCCATACTCGGGCGTCATGGCTTCGACAGAATGCCTCGCATCGGACGGGACGATTCTGACGGCTTCTCGCCGCAGCGGTTCTTCTTCAGATGGCGCAGCAGTCATGACAGCAACTCGGACGGCGGCAGTGAACGGCGCGGCAGAGGCCACGATTAGGCCAGTCCCAGGTAATTCCTTGACAGCACACTTTCACTCCCGCTAATCTGGTTTGTGAGAATATGTACAATCATAGCTAAAGGCTACGACGGAGACGAGTAAGAGGCCGCACATCCGGCACAGCGAGTCTGAAGCGGCGAGTCGGGTTCACCCACAAGCCGCAAGGTGAGAGCAGACGCACAGGATAGCCTCCGAAAATCCCTCCCAGAGCCGCGCACCGAAAATCTTGTCCCGACAGTATGTCCAATATCCGCGGACTGAGAGAGTAGGCTGCGACGGATTCGCCCGACGTTAGCAGGGCGGGAGTATGAACACGTACTCTACAGAGCGCATCGTGCGAGGCTTGTTGTCGCGCCGGTGAAGCAGGGTGGTACCGCGAGCCATCAATTCCACAGCAGGAAATTGAACGCCCGTCCCTACATTCAATAGTGGACGGGCGTTTTTCTTTGCCCAATTGTCAGGACACAGGCTAACCGAATTACTGATATACCGAACGACTGACCGAGGAGTACAACCGAAATGTCAACTCTGACTCTCTACGATACCACGCTGCGGGACGGCACCCAGGGCGAAGGCATATCGCTTTCTGTTTCAGATAAGCTCGCCATCTGCCAACGTCTTGACGAGCTAGGAGTTCACTACATTGAGGGCGGCTGGCCCGGCTCGAATCCACGCGACGCCGAGTTCTTCGAGCGCGCCAAGTCAATGACCCTTTGCAGTGCCACTCTCACCGCGTTCGGCAGCACCCGCCGAGCCAACATCAGCGCCGCAGAGGACGCCAACCTCGCCGCGCTATTTGAAGCCGATACCAGCGTTGTCACCCTCGTTGGGAAGTGTTGGGACCTGCATGTTACGCGGGTGCTGGAAACATCGCTCGAAGAAAAATCTTGCAATGATTTCCAACTCGGTGGCGTTTCTCGTGGAGAGCGGCAGGCGCGTATTCTTTGACGCCGAACACTTCTTCGACGGCTACAGGGCGAACGCCCACTACGCTATTCAGGCAGTGCAAGCCGCTGAGGTCGCGGGCGCAGAGTGCGTGGTGCTCTGCGACACCAACGGCGGCATGATGCCTGACGAAATATCAACCATCGTGCATCAGGTACGTCAGCGCACCGGCGTCGAACTCGGCATCCACACGCACAACGATGCTGACATGGCTGTCGCGGGCGCCCTCGCAGCAGTGCGCGCCGGCGTGACGCAGGTGCAGGGCACGATGAACGGCTACGGCGAACGCTGCGGCAACGCCAACCTCGTCTCCCTGATCGCCAACCTAAAGCTCAAGCTGGGAATCGAGTGCGTAAGCGATGAGCAACTCGCATCGCTCACGGAGGCAAGCCGCTATGTCGCGGAAGTCGCCAACATGCCTACGCTCAACTCTCAGCCGTATGTGGGCGGCAGCGCATTCGCGCACAAGGGCGGTCTGCACGCCTCCGCCGTCTCAAAGGTCGAGCACAGCTACCAGCACATACAGCCACGCAGCTCGGCAACGATAAGCGGGTGCTTGTCTCCGACCTGTCCGGACGCGGCAACATCCTCTGGAAGAGCGCGTGAGGTCTGCCCCGACGCCGAACTGACGCAGGCGCAGGCGCGCCAACTTCTGGAAGAGATAAAGACCGCGAGAACAAGGCTTTCAGTACGAGGGTGCAGAAGCGTCATTCGAGTTGCTGGTGCGACGCATGCAGCCCGACTACTCGCCGCCGTTTTCGCTCGTAGATTTCGTCTCCATGGTAGAGAAGCGCTCAGACAACGCTCGCGCCGGCGACATCAGCTCGCAAGTGATGCTGAAGGTGCGCGTTGACGACGAGGTGATGCACACAGCCGCGGAGGGCAACGGCCCCGTCAATGCACTCGACCACGCCCTGCGAAAAGCGCTGGAGCAGTTCTACCCTGACCTGCAAGTCGTGCGCCTGCTTTGACTACAAGGTACGCGTCGTTGACCAGGGCAGCGGCACGGGCTCGGTGGTGCGCGTTCTCATCGAATCCACAGATGGGCATCGCACGTGGAGCACAGTCGGATCGTCCGAGAACATCATCGAGGCAAGCTGGTTCGCCCTCTCCGACAGCTTTGAGCATTGGCTTGAGAGGGAAGCAGTCAGTCATTGACGCTAGTAGTGCGCCGTACTATCATTCGCATGTGATACGAAGTTACCGAAACACGGACACCCGGGCGGTGGCAGGACGTCGGCGTGTCAGAAAGTTCCCTTTCGAAATTCAGCGCCGTGCCCAGAGCAAGTTGATGATTCTGAACAACGCTAGGGATATTAGTGACCTGAGAATTCCCCCGGGCAATCGATTAGAGGCTCTTTCTGGAAATAGAGAAGGGCAGTACAGCATCCGCGTCAACAATCAGTGGAGAATATGCTTCACATGGAGGGGACGGAGACGCCTATCAGGTAGAGATAGTTGACTACCATTGAGAAGGTGCGGCGAATTGAGGGAGTCATGGCTACCAAAGCGGAGTCCGGGACAGAGAAACTACACCCTATTCATCCAGGCGAAATCCTCAACGAGGAGTTCCTCCTTCCGTTGGGAGTAACTCAATATCGTTTGGCAAAATCCATCGGCGTCGATACACGCCGCATTCATGCCATCGTCCATGGAAGGCGCTCTATTACGGCTGAAACCGCCCTACTGTTCTCTCGCTTCTTTGGAAACAGCGCCGAGTTCTGGATGGGACTGCAAAGTCAGTATGATTTAGAAACCGCGGAAGACCGTCTTTCCCAAAGGCTGGACAGTGTAACGGCATACTCAATCGACGATAGAATATAGATAGCGTGAAGAAATTTCAGGGAGGTCCTTCTCATGGAACTCGGCTACTTTACGATGCCCCTGCACCCACCCGGCACAGACATAGCGCAGACATTGCAGGACGACCTTGAGCAGCTCGTTGTCCTCGATGAGCTTGGCTACAGCGAGGCGTGGATAGGCGAGCACTTCACGTCGGTTTGGGAGAACATACCAGCGCCCGATCTATTCATTGCTAACGCGCTCGGCAAGACGAAGAACATTCGGCTGGGCACCGGCGTAACCTGCATGCCGAACCACAACCCGTTCATGATTGCCCACCGCATCGCGCAACTCGACCAGATGGCGCGGGGACGTTTCATGTGGGGGGTCGGATCAGGCGGCTTCGTCGGCGACTTCACCGTGTTCGGCTTCGACCCCGAATCGGGCGAGCACCGTGGCATGGCGCGCGACTCCGTGGAAACTATCCTGAAGATATGGAACGATCCTGAGCCCGGTGTCTATGAGCATAAGTACTGGCGCTTTACCATCCCCGAACCCGTGGAAGAGGTCGGCCTTGCCTTTCACATGAAGCCGTACCAGCTACCGCACCCGCCCATTGGGGTCGCCGGTGTGTCGCCGAAGTCGGAGACGCTCTATCTTGCGGGAGAGCGCGGCTGGATTCCTATGAGCATTAACCTGGTTCCCGTGCACCAGCTTGCGACCCACTGGGACAGCGTAAGCGAGGGCGCAGAGCGTTCCGGTCGCACGGCTGACCGTGCCACATGGCGCATCGCTCGCGAGGTCTATGTAGCTGAAACCACCGAACAGGCGCGCAAGGACATGCTTGAAGGCGTCTTCGCCCGCGACTTCAACCAGTATTTCAAGCCCCTCCTGTCGCATATGGGGCAGCTCGGTCTGATGAAGACTGACCCCGACATGCCTGATGAAGATGTCACGGCAGAATATCTGCTGGACAACATCTGGGTCGTGGGCAGCCCCGACGAGGTCGCGGCCAAGATCCGCGCTATACATGAGGAAGTCGGAGGCTTCGGCGTGCTGCTGGCGATGGGACACGAGTGGCAGCCTAAGGACAAGTGGACGCGCTCGATGACGATGTTGAAGGAAGAAGTGTTGCCCAAGTTGGTGGACCTCGAATAGTGGACACGCGCACGGATGAACAGGACGGGAAGGGCGGAATCAGCGCATGAAGCCGGGAGAACTCGTAGCGACGCGGATGAGTGGGGGCATCACCATTGCTCGCGTGGTCGATGTGGACACCTCACGCGTACGCGTTGCAATACGCCGCAAGAAGGAAGCGCGCCTGCCAACTGAGCGCATCATATTTGCTACGCAGATATTCGCGGAAGACGATGAAGAAGTAGCGAACTTCCGCCGGCAGAGCGAGGAAATCGCCGACACAGTTGACATCGCCGAACTATGGGAAGTCGTCAGTGATGATCAGACCGCCCTACCCTTCAACGACCTGAGTGAGCTGTACTGGGGCGTGGATGCAGCAGCAGTACAGCAAGTCGCCCTACTATTGTGCTTAGATAAGGACACCCTCTACTTCGAGGATGGCAAGGCGGGCTACACACCACGCGCGCCAACTGCCGTTGAGGAGACGCTTGCGCGTCGAAGGCGACAGGCGCAGCAATCCGAGGAAGCAGACGCCCTTCTCGCCTGCTTGGAGCGCGGGGAACTACCGCCCACGCTTACATCGCACCAGCAGATGCTTATTGACAGTATCCGAGTATTTGCTGCATTCGGCGACGACTACACTCGCAGCGCGCTAGTCAAGGCACTTCTGAACAAGATGGAGCGGAAGACCGGCAATCTCCAGCGCCTTGCCTTCGATGTGCTTGTGTCCTGCGATGAGTTCGCCGAAGATGAGCCGCTTGAACTCGTGCGAGACGAGATCGTTGAGGCATTCTCGGATGAAGCGCTCGCCATGGCAGAGTCCGTAAGTGAAGCCGAACTGCTTAGCGACGCCAATCGAATCGACCTGACCGCCCTGCCCACCATCACCATCGACGACGCGGACACGCAGGACCGAGACGACGCCCTGTCGCTGGAACGGCTAGACGACGAGGGCGGCGGAGCGGAGAGATTTCGACTTGGTGTGCACATCACGGATGCCGGCGCGCTCATTCCACAAGACAGTGTCCTCGATGAAGAGGCGAACCGTCGCATGGCAACGCTCTACATTCCCGATCGCAAGATACCGATGCTGCCGACGGTCATATCGCACGACAAGGGCAGCCTAGAAGCGGGCAAGCGCCGTGCTGCGCTCAGCCTCCTTGCAGACATCGGCGCAGACGGCGAGATACTGCGCTACGAGGTCAGGCCATCGGTTATCGTAAGTGACGCTGCCCTGTCTTACGACGAAGCCGATGCGGCAATCTCGGACGCTGACGAACCTTATCACGACCTGCTGGCAAACCTGCACACGCTGACCGAAGCGTTGAAGCAGCAGCGCGAAGCCGCAGGCGCAGTCAACATCGATCGCTCTGAAATGCTCATCAAGGTCGTGTCGTCCAACGATGTGCAGGTGAGGGTCGTCGAGCGCGCCTCGCCAGCGCGCCAGATGGTCGCCGAGTGCATGGTGATGTGCAACTCGCTGCTGGCGTCATTCTGCCGCGACCACGGCATCCCCGCGGCGTACCGTTCACAGTCCGCGCCCGACCTCAACGACCTTGGCGCAGGATTGCCATCGGGTGTGGAGATCGGCGAAGATGGCCCCTTGCGCCAGTATCTTATGATGCGCCGCTTCGCCCCCGCCGATACACGTACCGCGCCCGCACCGCATGGTGGTCTCGGCGTGTCGGCGTACATACAGGCAACATCGCCGTTGCGCCGCTACCCCGACATGGTGATGCAGCGCCAGATAACACATTACCTCAGCGCCGGCGAGCCGCTTTACAGCGTGGAGGACATTACCAGTGTCGCGGGTCGTGCCGACATGCAGATTCGAGCGATGGGCAAGCTGGAAGATGAGCGCCGCCGCTACTGGCTATTGAAGTTCTTCAAGCTGCGTATGGAAAAGGCGCAGGACGATGAAGAGGCTTCCTTGTTCAAGGCCGTCGTGCTCGAAAACCAGCCGCGTCGCTCAGCCATGCTCGAACTCGCGGATTACCCCTTCCGAGTACGCGCCCGCCTGCCCGATGCTATACTACCCGGCGCGACAGTAAGCCTACGCCTGCACAGCGTTGACCTCTGGGAGAAGAGGACGAACTTCATCCACGAGCCGGATATTACTTGATACGTCGCTGAGTTACTTGAGGTCTTTCACACATTCTTCGAATTGATTTCTCAACTCATTCACGCTCGCCGTCTTGTCAGCGCACAAGCCTTCTATGACCTCATCCAGAGTCCATCGGGAAAGTATGCCTTGTCGAGCCATATAGAGACCTACACCATTGATTCGATGATGGTCAGAATAGTCAAGTAGAACATATCCAAGCACCTGCCTCATCCAATCGGGGTCGATCATTGGTCTTTTTGTAGCCTTTATGTCAATCAGTATGCCATCTATTATCAAGTCTGCATCTGCGCCATCAACATCGTTTGAGCCGTCAAAGGTGGGGTTCAGAACATGAGGCACTTGCAATAAGTGGCTGCATTTGTCGTAGAATTCCCAAGAGAGTTCTCTGATGTCATCAATCCAATGCGGTTGAGCTATGCCAAGCAAAGTCTTTGTGTCAGGGAACTCAACCTTCATTAGAGGGTTCTCCGGAAAAATCCCAACCCTGTACACCTGCTCCATTAGAGAAAGGATGACGCAATATCGATTGAGAGAATCCTCCTGTGGTTGCGCCAGTCTTATTCCTGCAGGAGAGATACGTTTGAGCAATTCATCTAAGCTGTCAAAAAAGCCTTGGCATCCGTAGTCCGCGACGTCAGCGGCAAGCATCGGATCGACCTTACTGCCATTCGAATTGACGCCAAGCTGGAACGACTGGGCAATCCGTTGAACGTCACTTAGCGTTTCCGATCCTCTGTAAGCCGCAAGTTTCTCGTGAGGAGTTATACCAAAGTAGTAACGAATTCTGTAGTCCAGTGCTGTACCAATGACGCCCCACGGAACATCTTCATCTGGTTGGATAGTTCCTGCCCGTCTTATCTGCTTCCTAGCCTCTTCTAAGAACGAGCGCGTATTCGGAAATTGGGTTCGCAAGAACTGACAAATAGGGCTGTTTCTGTCTTTCAAGTGTCCCGTCAATGACATGATCTATCCTCCTCAAGTGCTTAGGATGCATGGGCTCATATCATTGACCTTAAATGCCGTCTCATGGACAAGTCAAACGATTTCGATGCGATAATCAAGCAATTTTCGAGGCTCAAAATCCGCAATGAAATTGCCTATCTTATAGGGCTAAACGGCGCTTCAAAATCACACAAATTAGAGGCAGAAACGGCGTGCATCTCCGACTGATTGGGACACCACAGAATGGATTCCGCCAAGATTCAGATACTCATCATGAGACGAAGGAGTGGAGTATGTGAAACGTCGGTATTCGCTTACAGCCCCGGAATCTCCCCAGGCATGTAGTGCTCCGCTCGAAAGACGGCGTTGACTTCGCCGAATCCAGGGTCTGTGGAGAACTCGGGATTGATGTACTCCCAGACGACCTCGCCTCCCGGCGTTACCTGGAACATTCGCCCGAAGAAACCTTCCGTAATGAGCGTATTCCCGTTCGGCAAGCGACGCGCACCGGAGATTATGTTGCTGTGAAAATTGAGCGAGGGCCTGTCCTGGTATTCCCAGACGATTTCGTTCGTTGACGGGTCAACCTCAATCACGCGAGAGTAGGTGAAGGCATTGTCGCGCCTATGGGTGCCGTTGTCGAAGATGAGCACATTGCCATTGTCCAGCATAGACGGGTCATGCTGCTGCGCCAGCACATCACCACCGAGTTTCCACTCAAATCCCCCGTCGCCTTATCGATGATGCCAACGGTTGAAATGCTCCTGAAGCTAACCATCACGCGGTCTCCCGGCAGTGGCACATGGTATTCCCGTGCGTCCAGTTCTCACGCGGATCGTTGAACGTAAGGATCTCTGTTTCCACATCAAGATGCTCGTGGGCGCGCCACGACCACACTCGATTTCCAGCCGCGTCCACTTCCACAATCTCATCAGCCCACATTTCGTCGTCGCCGTCCACTGGTATTCCGCCCTTCACTTGTGCCGCGAACTCGGTGGGCACGCGGTAAAGTCCGAGATAGATTGCGCCGCCTGACTCCGTGCGCCGCGCGTCGTGGTGGTGCATGGGGTCCTTGTGCTCCCACAACACGTTGCCCTGCCAATCGGCTTCGAGCATCGCGCCGCCTTTCAGGATTGCCCAGAATGGGAACGGCAGCGGGCCATCGTCCGTTACCTTGCCACCGTAGAATAGATTGCCGTTGGGCAGCAGGTAGCCCCAGAACCCCGGCGGATACGGCATTTGCCATCTGTGAACGGTGTTGCCCCGCAGGTCGATGAGCCGCGGCTCGCCTGAACCGAAATTCGGCGTGAATAGTACGTAACCCGGGCAGGCTCGGTCCTCGTCAAGCGCCGTAAGCCCAAGTCGCGTCGTGCGCCGCCGCGTCTGTTGGTCAATGGTAGTCAAGGCAAGTCTCCTAGGGGGAGGGCGGCGGGCGGCGAGGCTGTGGTCGGGGTGGCCGGGATTGAACCGGCGACCTCCTGCTCCCAAAGCAGGCGCGCTCCCGCTGCGCTACACCCCGACTAGATTACGCAGGCAAGCCAATGCTAGGAGAAGCGTGACAAAGCCTGCATGAAGATGATAAGCGTACTCAAAGGCATTGACAAGGTTAAAGCGGGAACTTCACACCGCCGGATGCTGAGTATGCCACTCGGTCGCCGTCTCATAAGCCTGTCCCACGCGAAACAGTGTCGCCTCATCGAACGCCCTGCCGATGATCTGCATCCCGATGGGCAGCCCGGCATCCGAGAAGCCGCTCGGTATGGACAGAGCGGGCAGCCCCGCTAGTGCAGCAGGACTAGTGTATCGCCGCCGTCCAAGATCGAGCCTGCCCTGGTAGTAGCCGCCCGGCCTGCCGGTCGAAGCCTCTATTGTCGGCGCGGCAACAGGTCCGGTTGGGAGAATGATGATGTCATACTTGTCCAGCGCAGCCATCAGCTCGCGGCGAATCAACTCTCTGGCTCGCTGGGCGCGCAGGTATGCCCACGCAGGCACGAGGGACGCCGACTCCAGCGCGCGTGCGCGTGCTCCAGTCGTAGTCGTCGCCCTCGGTCCGCAGCCAGTCAGCATGATACGTCGCGCAATCCACATCAGCCGTGCCGATGAACACCGCGCCGCTATTCGCAGACAGAGGCAGCGATATTTCCTCTGCCGTTGCGCCCTGCTCCCCCAGCACGCTCACGGCGCGCATCACCGAATCGCGCACATCCGCAGCGAGCCCTCGTATTCGAACATCTCAGTCGGCAGACCTATCCGCAGCCCGCTCACGCCGCCATCGAGCGTCGCGGAATAGTCCGGCACAGGCGCATCGCTTGAAGTCGAGTCAAGCGCATCCCTGCCCGCGATGGCATTCAGCATCAGGGCGCAGTCCGCGACCGTGCGAGTCATCGGTCCAACCGTGTCCATAGACCAGCACATCGGCAGCACGCCTTGCCGCGTAACCCTGCCGTAAGTCGGACGCAGGCCAACGATGCCGCAGAAGCCCGCAGGTCCGCGCACGCTGCCGCCCGTGTCCGATCCAAGCGCGCCAGCGCACAGACCTCCAGCCGTTGCTATCCCGAGCCACTGCTAGACCCGCCCGCAGTGTGGCCGTATTCCACGGATTGCGCGGAGTTCCGAAAGGATGATCGATCGTCCCGCCGATGGCGAACTCGCTGAGGTTTAGCTTGCCGAGCAGCACTGCGCCCGCAGCATCCAGCCTGCGCACAATCGTCGAATCCTCGTCAGGGATGAAGTCTGCCAGCACCTTCGAGCCGCCCGACGTTAGCGTTCCTTCGGTGTAGATGATGTCCTTGATGGCGACCGGAATGCCGTGCAGCGCGCCCTTGTCCTCGCCCGCCTGCATCTCCGATTCCGCTTGTTGCGCCTGTGACATCGCCTGCTCGCCCATCACCGTGATATACGCGCCAAGCTCGCCGTTAAGGTCAGCAATCCGATCGAGATACGCAGCCGTCAGCTCCACGGGCGACAACTCGCCGCCGCGCAGCATCGCCGCCTGCTCCGTGATCGGCTTGAAGTGCAGTTCGGTATTACTCATCGGGAGCCTCATAAGGCGCAAAGGTAATCGCCGGTTCCACGGATGCCAGTGCATCCGACGGAATCTCATCCAGCGCCTCAAGCACTGATGCCAGCCGCGCCGCGATGCTTTCAGCGCGTGTATCGTCCACTGGAAGCCAGCGATGCGTGTCAGTTCATGGACTTGCTCTTTAGTAATGTCGGGCATCTGAGTTCCTCGGTATTTCTTCCTCGCCTGTAATTCGTGCGGATTGTATCAGGGCGTTGACTATGTTGCCAGCCGCACATACAATCCCCACGAACCAGTCCAACAGGCTACACTGAACATCAACCAACACTAAAATCGGAGGTATCCATTATGGCAACCGTAGGCTCAGGCAACTATCAGTATGAACGAGTTCCAGAGTGGCCGAACATGCCTAAATACTGGGCGTTCGGCGCAGCATCCGACGGGGCGGTGAACTCCAAGGATGAGGTTTACATATTCAGCAGGGGTGCGCACCCTCTGACAATTTGGGACACGGACGGCAACTTCATTTCGTCGTGGGGAGAAGGCACATTCTCGGCCAACCCGCACGGCATATACATCGCGCCGAACGATAATGTGTGGCTCGTGGACCGCGACTTCCATATCGCAACCGAGTACACCCCCGGCGGCGAGGAGATTCGAACGCTCGGCGAGAAGCTCGCGCCATCGCCTTCGTTCCAAGGAATGCCATTCAATATGCCCTCCGGTCTCGCCATTGCGCCTGACGGCAATATGTTCGTCTCAGACGGCTACGGCGGCCACCGCGCCCACAAGTTCAGCGCGGACGGCGAGTTGCTGCTGTCATGGGGCAAGCAGGGCACAGGCCCCGGCGAGTTCGCCCTGCTTCACAACATCTGGGTCGATGAGCGCGGTCGCGTCATCATCTGCGACCGCGAGAACAACCGCATCCAGATATTCGACGGGGAGGGCAACTTCCTCGAAGAGTGGACAGACCTAGAAGCGCCCGGCGACCTCTGGATTCACGACAGCATCATCTATGTCGTGGAGCAGGGCGCGGGCACCGGCGTCAGCATTTGGACGCTCGACGGCGAGCTGCTATCGCGCTGGCGTGGCAGCGATGAGGGCGCGGCTGCAGGCAGCGTCATCGGCGGGCACGGCATCTGCGTTGACTCCAAGGGCAGCATCTATGTAACCGAGATCGGGCAGGGCGAGCGGGTCTCCAAGTTCGTCCGTGTGTAGCTCCATAAAGTTCCTTCCCTCTCGATGGGGGAAGGTTAGGATGGGGGTGAAATCTGTTATCCCATCTGAAAAGAACGTCCCTCGCGCTGCTGGACCTCGTACTACCTGAGTACTGTGTGGTCTGCCGGCGCGAGGGCAGCTATCTATGCGCCAATTGCGAAACCGACCTGCCGCCGCTGCAAAAGCCCTTCTGCTTCCTCTGCGCCAGCCCGCGAGTTCCACAGTTGTGCGAATCGTGCAGGCGCAGCGCCCCGGCGTTCGACAGCGTGCGAGCGCCCTACGAGTTCCGTGACAGCGCCCGCAGCATCATCCATGACCTCAAGTATCGCAATGTGAGAATCGCCGTACCGTATGTCGCCCGCCTCCTCGCCGCTTACTTGGAACGCAATCCGTATCCTGTCGACGCCTACTGCCCCGTGCCTCTGCATCCCCGGCGAGAACGCAGCCGCGGCTTCAACCAGTCCGAGATACTAACGCGCGAGCTGAGCAAGCTCACAGGATCCCTGTGACACCACACCCTGCGCCGCACTCGCAACACACCGCCGCAAGTCAGCATGGAATCACCGGAGGCGACCGCCAGAGCAACATCGCCGACGCCTTCGAGTGTCGAGTCGGACATGTGGAGGGGCGACGCTACATGCTGATAGACGATGTGGTGACGACTGGCAGCACAATGTCGGCGTGCGCCGACGCGCTGAAGGACGCAGGCGCGGCGAATGTGTGGGGATTGGCGTTTGCGCGGCAGGGGGTGTTTGGGGATGATGACGATGACATCGGAGCGAGTCGATGGTGGGTGTGAGTGCGCATTAGATCGTCGCGCGTTCCGCCCGACTATGCTTTCAGACGATGAATTGCTATTAGGGGGAATGGTGCTCGGCGCCTTTGATAGGATCCAACACTTCGGAGGGGCAACTTTGGGAGCAGTACCTATCTTGAATCCAACATTAGTCGGCGGAGGAGAGACCTTCGGACATGATCCCATTTCAGCCTCTTTCTTGAGATGTAGTGAGCTCGATTCAGTCAACAAGGGCGAAAGTGTCATTCAGGTTCCTAGCAATAAAGTCGCGAATGCTGTCAGATCATGAGCACACCTGCTGCTTGCCATATTCGTCGTAGTTCCCGTGGGCAGCGTCGTTACGGAGCCCAGCCAAGCTGTAACGTTCTTCTGGTCAAGATTGGTGTAGGCTCCCACCTTCGCGAGTTCTGCATTCAGTGTGTCCGCGTTGATAGGCCGAGTTTGGCTACGTTTCTCTCCCTCTCCAACGAAATCTCGCGGTTTTGGCAGAGTTGCTTGATATGCGCTTCTAAAGCGCTACCAGCTATTACGGCAGCAGCGTCTTTGTAATTTGAGCTACCAAGTGCGCAGCCATCTCAAGGAAATCACTGAAGACTTCGCCCCGTATGAGTGTGGAATTCCGCCGAAGGAAACCACCTTCAACGTCAACTGCAAGTGCCCTAACAACTCCAATAAGTCGTTCTACTCTGTATGCCGCTGCAGCACGAGGCAAATCCAGTATCCCTCGCACATGGTCGCAGTGGACGGAAGATCTACCAGCAATCTGATCTATGGCTGCGATGCTTCTAGTGGTGAACTGCTGTACCTCTTCAATGGAGAGCTCGCCGTAATATTCGCTCTTAGCTTCGTTGTAGTCTGAAGTTAGGCGTTTCAAACGTTCTACCGAGGCTATTTTAGACGCATCATTCATGGGACTTTTCCGAGAAACATTGCAAGAAATTCTCCTGATAATTGGAAACAGTTGCTACTCAACTGCAACTTGTGCCTTATTAAACTCAAAGACGGCAGATGACTGGCGGCTCCAAGTAGAACCATAAGGATACTCACTTTCTATCCCTCTAGACAGGCACTCGCAAGGCAAACATCCAAAAGGTGACATACACTTCATGCCTTGCGAATCCCAGTTTCCTACTACCGCAGCCGCGCCAAATACTGCCCTGCGATGTCCACACCCACTAGGCCGCTGTATGCCTGCGTTAGGCGCTGCGTGACGGGGCCCGGTATCGCGGCGTCCCCTATAACATTGCCATTAAAGGACGACACTGGCACGATGCAGAAGCTGGTGGATGTGATGAACGCCTCGTCGGCGGTGTAGGCGTCGTACAGGTCGAGGTCAGCTTCCTTTACCGTGATGTCCAGTTCGTGCGCCATGTCTATCGCCGTCTCGCGGCTGATGCCCGCCAGCACATACTGCTCGCGCGGGGTCAGCACGGCGCCGTCTTTCACGAGGAAGATGTTCGCGCCCGGGCCCTCGCACAGGTTGCCGCTCATGTCCAGCAGAATCGGCCAGGCGTCAGGGTTCTGCGCTTCAACCTCCTGCGTCGCCAGCACTAGGTTGATGTAGTTGTGCATCTTCGCGCGCGGACTCATCGCCTCCGGCGGCGTGCGGCGTATCGACGGGACGATTACAGGCATGCCGTCGCGGTAGAACTTCGCTCGCTGCGCGAACGGCAGCGGCACGCACTCCACCAGCACGGTCGGACTGCCACCGGGAACGCCCCGCGTGATGCGCTGCGTAACCCAGTAGTCGCCGCCCTCGTCCAGCAGCGGCAGGTTCGCCGCAAGCACCTGCATCGTGATGTCCGCGAACTCCTGCTTGGTCAGGACCGGCTCCATTCGCAGGTACTTCAGCGAGTTGAAGAAGCGGTCGAGGTGGTCCTGCAGCTTGAATATCCTGCCGTTGAATGTGCGTGTAGTGTCGAACACGGCATCTCCGTACACAAACCCCCTGTCTCGTACTGAGATCTTTGCTTCGCTCTCAGGCACCATCTCCCCGTTCAGATATACGATGCGTTCCTGTGCCATTGTTATTCCTCCTCTTTTGTCCATGTAATCTCGAAAAAAGTTACAGGATGGCTAGGATATTCAGGATGCAACACCCCTAACTATCCTTCCCATCCTGCATATCGATGTCGGCGTCCGATTATCCCTGTTGACTGAAATCCCTGAAGCGGTAGCCCACATTCCAGATTGTCTCGATATACGGATGCTCCGCGTCTCGATCTTGCTTCTGAGCCGCCGTATATGCACATCCACCGTGCGCGTGCCGCCGAAGTAGTCGTATCCCCAGATGCTGCTGAGCAGCGCCTCCCGCGAATACACGCGTCCCGGATTCGTCGCCAGAAGCCGCAGCAGCTCGTACTCCTTGAAGCGCAGATTGACGCGCTTGCCCCGCAGGGATACCTCGTAGGTGGACGGATTGATGACGAGGCTGCCGGCGCGTATTACTTCGTCGCCGTCCTCGTGGCGGTTGCGGTGCAGCGTGAGCTTGACGCGCGTAACTATTTCGTCCGTATCAGGCGGGCTGACCACGAAGTCGCTCACGCCAAGCCGCAGGTCGAAGTCTAGGAGCATATCTGGCGAGACCAGCGCAATGACGGGCAGCTTCAGCGAGTCACACCGCTCGATGAAGGCCTTGACGGCAGTGATGGACAGCGTCGAGAGGTTCAGCAGCGCAATATGAGGCAGTTCTGAGGCATCGAGGGCGTCCATGTCCGCCGCGCGCTCCACCAGGAGCACATCTATGCCTTCTTCATCAAGGGCATCCCGCCACTCAGAATGTGGGGCGCTGTTTTCAAACGGCCGCGATCTTACCATGTCTTAGGCGCTTCCCTCCGCAGCGTATCTATACGACTGCTCCTGAAATTCCCGTCTGCAATATATGTCATTGAAGCGGTGTAGTTCAAGTACGCCCTCAGGCAGTAACACATCAATGCTATGAAGGGTAGCGAGGATAGCTCTAATCTCTGCGAGACGACGAGTGTCTATTTCTGAGTTACAACTTCAGCATTTTGGGACGCCGCCGAAGCGCAGTCGCAGCAGTCCCTTGACATCCTCGATGGCTGTGCCGAGTATCTTGACGCGAGTGTCCGGGTCGTCGGTCCAGTGAACGGGGATTTCGCGGATCCCGAAACCGTTGGCTTCGGCAATGATGAGCAGTTCGGTGTCGAAGAACCAGCGGTTGTTCTCTATCAGCGGAACGAGTTCATTCACGGCGCGGCGACTGATTGCCTTGAAGCCGCACTGGGCGTCCCGAAAGCCAGTGAAGAACATCGAACGGAACAGGAAGCTATACCCCCGTGATGTGATTTCTCGCCTGAGCGGCCTGCGCTCGACGCGCGCGCCCCTGATTAGGCGCGAGCCGATGGCGATGTCGTACTCCTGCTCGGCAATTGCGCCAACGAGCGGTTGCAAGGCTGCGAGATCGGTGGACAGGTCAACATCCATGTACGCCACGATATCGGCTTTGGAGGCGAGCCAGGCGGTTCGGAGTGCCAATCCGCGCCCGCGCTCTTCAAGGCGGAATGGGAAGACGCCAGGAAATTCGCGCGAAAGGCGCTGCGACACTTCAGGAGTGGCGTCTTCCGAGCCGTTGTCGGCGATGACGATTCGCCAGTCGAAGTCGGTGAAGTGGGCACTGAGGTGCGCGTGGAGCGTCTTGATGCTCGGTGGGAGGGCGCGCTCCTCGTTTAGCACCGGAATTACGATGTCAAGTGTCTTTCGGGTCATGTATTGGCGGGTTTTCGGCTATTAGGTATTTAATGTCGGAAGTGCCGCGTTCCGGTGAAGAGCATGGCAATGTTATGTTCGTTGGCGGCGGCGATCACCTCATCGTCACGGATGGAGCCACCTGGCTCGGCTATGGCGGTGATACCACCCGCAGCAGCCATCTCAATGTTGTCGGCGAATGGGAAGAAGGCGTCGGATGCGAGAACGCTGCCCTTTGCCTTGTCCTCTGCGATGCGCAGGGCAAGGTGAACGCTGACCACGCGGTTGGGCTGCCCCGCGCCCATGCCGACCAAGGTGTTGTCCTTCGCAAGGACGATTGTGTTGGACTTGATATGCTTTGCCGCCTTCCACGCGAAGGTGAGGTCGGCAAGTTCTGCATCGGTTGGTTCGCGCTCGGTGACGACTTTCCAGTCTGCGGGGGATTCGGCGATGTCGTCGGTCTGCTGCACGAGCGCGCCACCGGATACGAGGCGCACGTCCAGCCCTTCCTGCGGACCGGATGCGGGCTGCACTTCGAGCAGGCGTGTGCGTCGGCGTCGGCGCAGTACATCAAGCGCCGCCTCTTCGTAAGCCGGGGCGATGATATGTCGAACAGGACGCCGCGCATTGCCTGCGCGGTCGCAGCGGTGAGCGTGACTGTTGAAGGCAACGATGCCGCCGTAAGCCGAGACTGAATCGCCCTCAAAGGCGTGGCGGTAGGCGGTCGGCTGGTCATCGTGAACGGCGAGACCGCAGGGGTTCGTGTGCTTGATGACGGTTGCGGCGGGCTGATCGAAGTCGGCGACCACGCGCCATGCGGCGTCTGCGTCGAGGTAGTTGGTGTAAGACATGTCTATGCCGTGAAGCTGCTTGGCTCGCACGATGCCGCCGCTCGATAGGGGCGCGGCGTATAAGCCTGCCTGCTGGTGCGGGTTCTCGCCATAGCGCAGGGTGGATAGACGACTGAATCCGAAAGTGGTCTCGTCGAGTTCCAGCGCGTCTTCGCCGAGGTACTGCGATATGGTCGTGTCGTAGAGCGCGACATGCTGAAACGCCTTGCGTGCGAGAGAGCGGCGCTCATCTTGAGTCAGGTCTTCGCCAGCCGCAAGACGCTCGGCTATCCAGCCGTAGTCGGCGGGGTCAACGACTACGATGACATGCGGGAAGTTCTTGGCCGCGCCGCGAATCATCGTGGGGCCACCAATGTCGATGTTCTCCAGTGCATCAATGAGAGTGGCGTCCGGGCGGCTAACTGTGTCAACAAACGGGTATAGGTTGGATGCGACCACATCAATTGTGCCGATGCCATGCTCTGCAAGTTGTGCGTTGTGCTCGGCGATGTCGCGCCGCGCGAGTATGCCGCCGTAGATAGCAGGGTGCAGCGACTTCACACGACCGTCCAGAATCTCCGGGAAGCCGGTCAAGTCCTCGACGTGCTGCACAGGAATGCCGGCATTGGCGATGGCCGCCTGCGTGCCGCCGGTGCTGACGAGCGCGTATCCGCTGTCGTGCAGGGCGCGGGCAAAATCTGTGAGTCCAGTCTTGTCGTACACGCTAAGAAGCGCTCTCAAAGGTGTCCTCCTGGGTTGATTTTTGTCAGATGATGCGTTAGGAATTTTCCATCCAGTAACGCAGGGCGATGCTAAAGCATTCTTCCGTCCATCTGATGAATCTGTCGCTTACTTCTTCGACGGAGTCGTTCCAAGTGAAAGTAAAGGGAGTGATGGCACAGTTCTTAAATGTCACATTGTCAACATCTGCTGATTCAATAGTGTCGCTGTCGTAATACTCTAACTCCAAGAAAGCAGTTGACGACATTACACCAGTTAGCTGGCGTCCCGTGTGATGTAAAGAAACTACAAACACAAGACGTACAATATCTGGGGATTCCATAGCCGTTCGCAAATTAGGGTTCAAAGCCAATTTGACGAAATATCTATGTTCATTGAAGTTTACCCAGTGGCGGGACTCATTTGCGGTCTTTAGCACTTGGCTGTGATACCAATGGGCATTACCTTTGTCAGGCCCTCCCTCTTCTGTCCAAGGGTCAATGTAGATTTGCGCGACCGCAAGCCTATCCTTTATATGTTGAGACTTCTCGGACAAATACCTAGAAACCAGGCTACGAAGCCCTGCGGCGACATTGTTAACTGAACGCATCTTTTCTATCTCAAGACGCCGCCGCCGATTCGAGCGTTCAACTATGCTGTCTAAAATCTGGTCAACTAAGTCAATATCAGGTGTGAGTGGAGGTCCTGCCTCGCCTTCATCAAGAACATGCAGGATAGTATTTATCTCCAAACGCACGAAGAGTCTGATGAGGGGCGTAAGATCCCCAGCGTCGGCCTTTTCGAGGGAATTTAGATAAGCGTCTCTGTCATCGCGCGATATGACTATTGGGAAGTACTTGTACTTGACGAGATGCCAGGTCAGTATAGCCCTGCCAACTCTACCGTTGCCGTCCTGAAAAGGATGAATCTGTTCAAATCTGTGATGCAGCCAAGCCGCCAGAAGCAGAGGGTGGTAGCCTTCTCTTTCATACGCGCTGTACCAGTCCAGCAGGTTGTCAATTTCGCTCTCAACGAATGCGGGCGGGCAATACTGGTGCAATTCGCCATCTGGGCGAGTCGGACTATTGGGCTCACTCTTAAACTCGCCTTTTCGCAAGGGTACCTGTACACTGTTGCCCGCTTGGTTTGTCGCGGCGTAAGTTTGCTGGCTTAGCAGAATCTGCTTGTGAAGTCCCCTGATGTAATTTTTCCTAATCGGAATTCCGTGCTTAATCCAGTCGTCCACAATCTTACTTGCGAGTTCGTGGTCTTTGAGAATCTGTACCAGTTCGGCAGGCTCTTTGTTCGTGGAACGTCGCTCAATGTAGTCTGTGGCGATTCCTTTCTCAATGAGCGTCTGCGTAACGTTTCTGTCTAAGTCGTAGATGCCCTCGATGATGCCGGTTTCGATTGACCACCGTCGGATCAGACGGTCGGTGAAGGCTTTGTATGCGTCCGGCGTGGAACTTTCCACCTGCCGCTTGATATGCAGCCACTGGCGTTGCAGCGAATCAATCTCTCCGAAGTCGTAGGCTTGACTATCGGAGTCGATTGGCTCTATGGGCTTCCACTTGTGGAAAACCTTTTGTGAATTTTCCCTAATTTCAGCCATTTGCATCTGTGCCTATATCCACTCAGTCTGATTCACATTTGCAAATTATACGATACTGACGCGCTCGTCGTTGGTGTCGAGGGTTATTTCTCCGACGACTTCGGCGCTTGGGATGGCGTTGAGCACGGCGTCTGCCTGTGTGGGGTCGCAGATGAGGGTCATGCCGATGCCCATGTTGAAGACGCGGTACATCTCCTCGCGAGAGATGGCGGCGCGCTCTTGAAGGAGCGTGAATATGGGAGGGACGCGCCATGCGGATGAGTCGAAGTGGGCGGCTGTGCTATCGGGCAAGATGCGGGGGATGTTTTCGACTATGCCGCCGCCGGTGATGTGCGCCATGCCTTTGAGCATTGGCAGCACAGGTCGAACGGCGTCCACATAGGACGGGTGCGGCAGCAGGAGCGCGTCGCCAAGCGTTACATCCTCACCAAGTTCAGGGACGACTTCGTTCAGCAGAGACGGGTCGTCATCAAGTCCTAACGCGTGACGCACTAGGGAGTAGCCGTTGGTGTGCAGGCCATTGGAAGGGATGCCTATGATGGTATCGCCGGGGCGGATGGCGCTGCCGTCGAGTATGTTATCGCGCTCGACTGCACCGACTACGAAGCCGGCCATATCGAAGTCACCGTCCGCGTATAAGCCGGGCATCTGAGCAGTCTCTCCGCCGATCAGGGCGCATTCTGCCTGTTCGCAAGCGCGCGCCATGCCCGCTATCAACGCTTCGACGACATCGGATTCAAGGGCGGCCACGGCGAGGTAGTCAAGAAAGAATAGTGGCTGCGCGCCGCAGACGATGATGTCGTTGATGCAGGCATTCACGAGGTCTTCGCCGACGGTGTCATAGCGGTCCATCATGATGGCTAGCTTGAGCTTGGTGCCCACGCCATCGGTGCTGGATACCAGCACGGGGTCGGCATATCCGCTGAGCCGATAAAGCGCGCCGAAGCCGCCCACGCCTCCGAGCACCTGCGCGCCGTGAGTGGGGGCTACGAGGGACTTGATTCGGTCTTTGATGTCCTGCGCGGCATCGAGGTTGACGCCGGCATCTTTATAGGTCAGTTGCTCCAAAGTCTAGCCTCTTTGCTCTAACTAACGGGATGGACAAGACAGAGATGATAGAGTTTCGACCCAGAAGCGGCGCTCGCGCTCTTTGACACGTTCTTCGAGGGCCTCTAGCGTGTCGTTAGGCAATACGGGGACTTCGCACTGGGCGAGGGTCGCGCCGTGGTCGTATTGGTCATCAACATGGTGGATAGTTACGCCGGTTACGCTTTCTCCTGCGTCCAAGACCGCCTGATGGACATTGCTGCCGTACATACCCTTGCCGCCAAACTTGGGCAGCAGCGCCGGATGGCTGTTGAAAATACGACCCCTGTATCGAGCAAGGGTCGCGGGCCCTAGAAGTCGCATGTAGCCTGCGAGAAGCACCAAGTCCGCATTGTGTTCTTCTAAGGTTCTGCATATCTCGTCGTCAAGCGACTGTGGATGCGTTATAGAACTCAGGTGAAATGCCGGTATCCCTTCGCTGCGTGCGCGTCGAGCGAGCGCGAACCGGAGTTGTTGCTGATGACTACGCAGACTTCCGCATTGAGATCGCCGCGCTTGCAGGCGTCCATGATTGCCTGAAGGTTGGTGCCGCCGTGTGATGCGAGCGCACCAAGTCTGAGTTTCTTGTCCTGCTTGTCCTGACCGCTCTGCGACATCGCCATTCGTACCAAGTCAAATATGACGAAGCTACACTTCGAGCGCGAGCTTGTCCATTTCGAGCTGGACCGGAATTGGATAGTCGCCGGTGAAGCATGCCATGCAAAGTGAGTTGCGCTGCAATCCAACAGCGTTCACAAGGGCTTCGTGGCTGAGGAAGCCGAGCGAGTCCGCGCCCACGTAATCGCGGATGTCGTCAACTGTCATGTTGGCGGCGATGAGTTCCGGTTTTTGTCGCCATGTCAACCCGAAGTGACAGGTCGAGATGATGGGCGGGGCGCATATTCGCAGATGCACCTCGCTCGCGCCGCCACGCCGCAGCAGGTTGACAACATGCGGAGTTGTCGTGCCGCGAACTATGCTGTCGTCCACGACGACAATGCGCTTGCCTCTGATAATCTCAGGCAGCACGTTGAGCTTAAGACGAACGCCGAGGTCGCGCAGCTGCTGGTCCGGCTGGATGAAGGTGCGCCCGACATAGCGGTTCTTCACCAGTCCTTCAGCGTAAGGGATGCCGGACTCCTGCGAGTAGCCGACCGCAGCAGCGGTTGCGGAATCAGGCACGCCGATAACAAGATCGGCGTCGATGGGGTCCACATTGGAGAGCGCAGCGCCCATTGCGGCGCGCGCCGAATGTACCGACCTACCCTCTATTACGCTGTCCGGTCTGGCGAAGTAGATATACTCGAATACGCATCCGGCGGATACACGCCCGTTATCCGGCGGGCGCTTGTATATGGTGCGGATGCCGTCAGCGTCTATCAGAACGGCTTCCCCCGGTTCGACGTCGCGGATGAACTCTGCGCCGATGTGGTCGAAGGCGCAGGACTCGGACGCCAGCACCCAGCCGTTGCTGAGCTTGCCAATGCAGAGGGGGCGCACGCCAAGCGGGTCGCGGATGCCGAGAAGCTCGGTCGGCGTCATCACGGTCAGCGAGTATGCACCCTGAAGTCTGCGCATGCAGTAAGCGATGCGCTCTTGCCAGTTCAGCCCGGGGGCGTTCGCTAGCAGGTGAGCGATAATCTCGGAGTCGTTACTGCCGTTGAATTCGCAGCCCCAGAGAGAGAGTTCCTGTTTCAGATCTAAGGCGTTAATGACGTTGCCGTTGTGCGCGAGCGCAAGATTGACAGCCGCGCTGACAGAGCAAATTGGCTGGGCGTTGTTGATTGCGCTGCTGCCTGTTGTAGAGTAGCGCGTGTGCCCGATGGCGATGTGCCCCGGAAGCCGGGCGATGTCCTCTTCTTGGAATGCCTGACCGACGAGTCCCATTGAGACCCTGAGATTGATGCCGTCCCCGGTGCTGGAGGCGATGCCTGCGCTCTCCTGTCCGCGATGCTGCAAAGCGTAAAGACCGAAGAATGCGTAGCGGGCAACATCCTCGCCTTCGGAGTATATGCCGACGATGCCGCAAGCCTCTCGCGGGTAGTCGTCTTGGGGAGCAACAGTAGAATTGGGATGCCGAGGGGTGTCGCCGTTCATAGTCAACTCCGCTCGATAGTCCGTTGCAAGGGCGTCAAGCGCATGTTCAGTATAAGGCGCACGCCGTAGTAAAAGCAATGCGGTTTCTTAGCGGGAACGGCCTGACATGACCAAAGAGCTGCGGATTCCTACTGCGCCACGATAGGCTGTGCGATTATCCACAGGCTGACTGCGGTGTAGAAGACCATCAGCGCGAGCATCGGATACTGACCGCGCAGGGCTAGCGCGTGGGTTGGCGTGCGCCTGACGGCAATGGTGTGAGCGATATACACGGATACGATGTGCCCCACGACTATCGCACCCACTGATACTATCCACGCGAACTTGGTGCTTATGACCGTCGGGGTCTATGCGATAGCCCGCAGATCCGAAGATGTCCCAGCCGAAGCCGAACGGGTCGGACGCGAGCGGGATGATGAGCTGCCCCTGCACTAACAGCAGCGACATGAAGTGCGCCATATTGTATGCGAGCGCGATCGGCACAAGCGAGAAGACATAGGCGCGCGCCACCTCGGACAGCGATGCACGCTCGCCCGACAGAGCACGTATGCCGATGCAGAAGAGCAGGTATATGCCGAAGAAGAGCAACGGTATCAGCACGACGCCAAACGTGTCCACCACGCTGACGCCGCCCGGACCCAGCAGCCGCAGTCCGATCGTCTGCACTCCGAGCCAGTTCGTGGTCTCCTGAAAGCCGTCGAATGTTACGGCGGCGAGCGTGAGCACGACGAAAGCGCAAGTCTGCCACGACACTCGCCCGATCGATACCAGCCCAGTTGCCCATGGACGCAGGTTGAACTGCCGCCGCGCCGCATCCGCGCGCTCGTAGCACGCGTAGCAGTCCACGCAGTCGTCAACTGGGTTGTCCGTGTCACAGTCCAGTTCGCAGTCGCCGCAGCCGCCGCCGACCACGCGCACCTCAGTCGGCGAGAAGCGAGCGAATATGCCGAACAGCACGGCGAACGGATCGCCGTACCGCAGCCAGACATGCTTGCCGAAGACGAGCATACCGCCGAGCGTGTACAGCGAATAGACGATGATGATGGCGCCGAGATAGCGGGGTACGATTGAGCCGGGATACACATTTTCCAGCCAGACGAAGGCGAGGAACGCAGCAGCGCGGGCATAGCGTCCCAGCCGTCGGGGTATGGACGCGGCGCGGGCATACCTGCCCTGCACGCGCCAGCAGCCACTCCGCCCACTCGAATAGCGCCTTCCAGGGATTTATCAGCATCCACAGGTTGCCGAATAGCGCGGAGATGTAGCCCATGCCGACCCACCAGATTATCCAGACGAAGGTGGGTGAGAAGTTTTCCAGCGCGTTGTCAGTGCCGACGAAGGATGTCGCGATTACCAGCAGAAGCAGCAGGACCGACAGGACGCGCGCGACGCCTGACTTGATTCGGGATGTCAGGGCTGTGCCGGGCAGGGCAAGCAAGTTGAATCGCGGGTATTGGTATTCCGCGCCGCCGCCCTTGAGGAACATGCCGATGATCACGAATGACAGCGCAACGGTCGCCGCCGCACCTGCCATGAAGTAGCTGAGCGGTATGGGAAGGTCGTATCGCTGCCCGAAGGCGTGGGCGTACACGGGGCTTGCCGCCAGCACGGGTGCTGACAGGATAGACAGCCCTATCAGAGTTTTCTTCATAGATGTCAATGGTTGGCTTTCATCCCTTGGTCTAATCTCTGCGAGTTCTGTTCTTCCGCTTGCGCGCGAACGAAGTTGATGACATGCCAAATCTCGTCGTCTGTGAGGCTCTCCCCAAGTCCGACCATCGCCGTGCCTTCGATGCCGTTGCTGATGAAGCCGAACATGTGGGCGTCGCCATGATGAGGTGCATGAACGGTGAGGTCCGCAGGCGGTGGCTCCAAACCTGCAGCACCTGGTCCGTCGCCATGTCCGTTCACGCCGTGGCAAGTCTGGCAGTACCGCTCATATACGACCTGCCCCGCCGCAAGGGAGTCGGAGGTAGGCGCGATTGGATTGCTCACTGTCGCCTGCACCTCAGAAGCGCCCTGAGCGCCTATGAGAAACCACGCGCCCGCGATGAATCCTAGGGCGCCGCAAGCCATTGTCAGCGCGCCCGCACGATTATACCAGCCGCCCATCGGTACGCCCGCGCCGAGGAACACGAGGCCAAGTACTGCAAGCAAGATACCGAGATACAGCCCGCCCCTTGCCGCATCGGGCGCGATTGCCGCGCTGCCACCCGCGCCGCCTGAGCCTATCTCGAAGTGGAAGGCGGTGCGAGCGTCGAAAGCGTCGGGGCGCTGCACAAGTAGCTCCGCCTGATAGGCGCCCGCGATGCTGATAGCGCTGTCAGCAAGCTCATACGCGCCGCCGCCGATGTTGACGGCTGGAACGGATTCTTCACCGAAGTCGGCTTCCAAGTACGACACGCGCAGGCGCACATCGGTTGCGTTGTCGATTGGCTCGCCAAAGCGATCCGCCAGCCTGACGGTGAAGGTATTCGCACCCACCCGCGCAGGCTCGATTGTCAGCGTTACATCAGCGCCCTCCACGGTGTCCTTGAAGGTCAATTCCTGCTGCTGAAGAGCAAGGACGCGGGATGCCACCTGGCGAGCAGGTTCGAGAGCAGTGAGGAAGCCGACGGCAAGGATTACAAGCACGGCAAGTACGACCTCGGCAGCAACCGTGCGGCGCAGCCATCGTGCGGCTGTGCTGCTTCCGCGCAGTCGCGGTCTTACCCATATCAGGTTGACCGCGGCTACCAGAAGCAGGACGGCAATCACCGCGACTTTTGCGATCAGCGCAGTGCCGTAGGGAGTATCGAGCGCAGCGAAACTCAGTCACCTGCGCCCACGCGCTGTACACGCCCGTTATTATCAGCACGACAACGCTGAGCACGGCGGCGGCGGAGAAGCGGCGCACCAGCCGTGAGAGCGCATGACGGCGCGGCGATTCCGATATCCCGCCGATAAACAGAGGCGTTCCGGCGATGAGGTGCATCAAGCCACCCACCCATACCGCGGCGGCTGTAAGGTGCACCATATCGTTGATGAGCGCAAATCGGGCTATTCCTATGGTTGCGGCCGCATGGCTCGTCATGCTAATCGTCAGCAATATGCCGAGCGATGCAATGAGCGCAAGCCAGAGGATGATGGTAACCAGTCGGTCCTGACGCGGCGCGCGGCGGAAGCGCACGACGAGCGGTAGCAGGAGCAGCGCACCGACCAGCACAGCGAGACCTGCGCGGTACAGCCACATCCTGCCCCATTCGGTCGTTTGAAGCACCTCCATTGCGGGCGCGCCTGACGCTTCCAATGATGGTACTTCAAACAGTGTTGCCGCCTGCATAAGCAGTTGCGCGCCTGACGCGGCGAGAAGCATGATTAGGGCAAACCACAACAGCCGCTGTGAGCTCGAGCGCAAACGAGGACGCAGCCTGCCCAGCGGCGAGCGCGTACCTGCCGCTGTCAGCACGGGACCGGATACCAGCAACTCGAATACAAGGCCGCCCGTGAGCGCAAGTGCGCTTAGCAGTACCAGCCAGCGTATGAAGGGCTCTTCGGGCGACTGAAAGAGAGGAACATCAAGACCGCGCTCCGCAGCCGTTTCGGATATTGGCTCACCTATGGAGAAGGCGAATGAGCCGCGAAGAGTGTGCCCGTCAATGGTTGACAGGTTGCGCCATGCGACAGTGTATGTGCCATCAGGGAGCGGCGGAAGGCTGACGGACATCACGGTCAAGTCGTTGGTGTCAACCCTACTGTCTTCGCTGTCCACTCGCGCGCCTGCGCTATTCAGCGCCTGTATCTCGCTGAAGCGCGCCTCCATCGGCTCTGTGAACCATAAGGTGATGCGGTCGGGCGATGCGTCAAGAGTGGAGTTGGCGGGCGGCTCGGAGCGCACCACATTGGCGTGCGCCTCCGCGACCTGCGACTGAACCACAAGCGCCAGAGCACACGCCAATGCCAATGTGAGCAGCAGTTTCATGCTGATAATGTACAGGATAGGCAGGACGAATGGATAGAAATCCTGCCTATCCTAGTAATCCTGTTAATTCTTTCTGCGGAACGCTGCGACCGCGCCTATACTGCCAACCACGATTCCGACCGCGCCCACGACAATGCCGGCTATTGCCAGAGTCGTTGCCGTAGCAGCGCTGCCTTGCGCGGTGCTTGCGGTCGCCTCAACATTCAGGGCGGCATCCTGCGCCTGCTGCGCGGAGTCGAGCGCGCCCCTGACCGCAGATTCGATTTCGCGCGCCGCCGCAACGGTTGTGGGAACTGAAGTGCATCCGCCGTCTCGATGTCGGCGGAACGCCCAGGCCCAGACTCGAAAGTTTCGTCGATTGTCTGACCTTCGATGCTGCCGACGAAGCGGAATATGTACTGCCCGGTCGCGGTGGGGATAAAGTATGCGGTGTAATGCCCGGCATCAGCGCGGACGGGCTCCAACGCCATCTGACGCGTGATGCCGCTCGACACATGGGTAACCTCCACCGCGAGTGTGGATTCTAGTCCCTCCACGGGTATCCCGTCGTGTCCATGCCCTGCCATGCTCATGGACATTTCATCATTCTCGTCATCCTCTTCATCTTCTTCCGACTCTCCATGCATCTCGTTACCGTGGCCTTCGGCTTCAGGCATCTTGGTGATTCGCACCGACACGGCGTTCAGCAGCCCCTCAAATGCGGGCTCTTGTATGAATCCGACTACGAAGTTGTACTCGTGAACGTTCCGATGCTCGTGCGCAGCAGCAACAGCCGCACACAGCGTTAGCAGAAGGACCGCTGCCACTGGGGGTATGAGTTTCTTTAGCAAGAGCATTCTCCTAATCATTCTTAACTGCAAGCGAATTGCGTCACGAAGATTTGCTCCTGCGTCTTTCCCTGATATACATCCGAATTGCGAGCGCCACGACTATGATGAACGCAAGCAGCGCGACCAGCGTAATGATGCCGATGAGGGGATTAGGCGTCGTTACATTCACAAGGAACTGTGCACTCGCCTTACCTGCGTCCGGGCTGTCCACGCTCACGGTGAATATCCACCTGCCGGGCCTGTCCAGCACAATCGGCTGCTCGGTGTCGTAGTAGCCGGGGTAGTTCTGCGGGTCCGGGTCGGGGTTAACGACTGTCGGCCCTATCTCGGGACCGTCCCCCATCGGACTTGTTTCGCCTTCAATGGGCGGGCCTATTGCGGACACAACCACATCCGCGCCCAAGACAGGTGTCGTTGATGCCGCATCAGTCAGCAGAATCGAGAGATAGAAGTTGCCCACGACAGGCGACTTCGGAATCTTTCCAAACCCAATCTGATATGATCCCGCAGTGCGCAAGTCCCACTCTATGACGCGCCCGTTGGCTTGAGCCCGCGGAGATGCGAGATGGGCAGACGCAAAGCTGCTGCAATGCCCAGCAGAACTGCGCCAATAATGGCGAGCCGAACCGTGTTATGTGGCAATGTCGGCAAACCTCACGCTGCGTCCAACGGATGAAAGGGAATATCGGCAGGAAGCTACAGGAGAGGATCTGGAGGCTTGTCGGGTGGATTCGGGATGTGCTGCCGTGCCACGACGATGAGAGGCGCGGGGAGGATGAATACGGACGTGGGCTGGTATTGGCGCAACGATGTGGCATCTACATTGACGGGAGATGCTACAAGCGTTGCAGCAACGCCGCCGTCGCTCTTGTATAGGGCAATGGGGAGGCCACCGGCGGCGGGCGTCGACGAAGCGTGGTTGTGCATGTGATACGACGATTCGAAGGTGTGATTATGCTCGCCGGGCGCGCCAAAGTGGAGGTGGTCGGGCTGGCGTTCGGCGAAGTGGTGGTCTAAGACGGGGCCTGCCAGCGGCGCAATCAGCGCCACGACCGCCGTAAGCGCAATGAACGCGCTGAAGCCTCTGACAAACACTTTGTATCTCATCGTACTGTCGCAATTATAACATAGGGCTAACCGGCCACGTCCTGCAACGCCGCCTCCAATTCGTCCCGCGTCGTGAACGCCTCGAACTTGGCGCGTATACGCCATCACCGTCCACAACGAAAGTCCACGGCTCACTGGGCAGCCCCCACTCCTCAGCCGTCGGCGATATGACGGCTTTGCTCAGGTCGCCCTCAATCTCGTGCGGATTGTCATAGACTTCGATGTGTATGAAGTTCATCCTGTCCCCATACTCCGCCTTCAGCTCCTTCACAACCCCGAGTTGAGGCCCGCATGTCGCCGTCTGGCAGTACGCGGGCGTCGAGAACACCACCAGCAGTGGCTTGTCCGCATCCAGCGCATCCGCAATGGTCATGCCATAAAGATCGGTGTCAGGCTCGAAGTCGGTTGTAATCTGCGAGAAGCCGTCCACATCCGCCAGCGTCTTGCTCACGCTGCGCGGGGCAGTCGCACCAATCGCGGGCGTGGCGCTCGATTCGCCCACTCGCACACGCGCCGACGCCTTACGCTCGATGCCTTCCCCATCAGTAACCACTGCGCCGATGCCCCACTCACCGGGGCGGTCGAACTGCAACTGCGCGGTGAATACGCCGCGCGGTGAAACGGGCCACGCCTGGAACACGGCATTCACCGTCTCCATCGGCCCCTCCTGCCCGCCGGTTGCGGGCAGATAGAAAGTGGAAATAACAACATCCGCATCGCTGACTGGCCCCACGCCATCGTCTATTACGCCGAACACGACGCGATTGGTGCCCACAGCAAGATCGCTGGACGCGAGGGCGAGGCGCAGTGTCTCGGGAGTGGGCGCAGGCACGATTGTCGGAGCAGCGGTCGGCGACGAGCCACAGGCGATTGCCGAGGGAATGATCACGCACAATAACGCCAGCAACAAAAGAGGTGAATGCGCGAATTTGAGTCTCAGTCGCTTTGCTTTATCAAACGGCATATTCATGCGTTCAATTGTAACAAAGCGTTCTTGTCTTCAGCCCACATACAAGTAATTATAATTCTTGAGTTGTATCATATCAACTCTACTGCTATACTTATGTGTAGAACATTGCTTCAAAAGGCAATTCGATTTTGTTATGTGAGGACAATGACATGGTTCTGAGACCTGACGAATTCACAGACGCAGCCAGACAAGTCTTGCACGAATCCCAGCAGATTGTACAGCGTTATCTCCACTCGCAGTGGGACGCCGAACATGTGCTTATGGCGCTGCTCGAACAGCAGCAGGGCGTTCCCGCCGATGTACTCGCGGAGATTGGCGCCGACATCCCTGAGCTGCGCCAGCGCCTTCACGCCATATTGGAGCAGGCGCCCAAGTCGAGCCAGCCATCCAACCAGATATACCAGACCCCAGGCGTAGGTCGCCTGCTGTATAGCGCAAAGGCGGAAGCCGAGCGCCTGCAGGACAACTACATCAGCGCAGAGCATCTCCTGATAGCTCTGACGCAGGATGCGCAGGACGCCGCCGCACGCCTGCTCGCCGAACACGGCATTACGCAGGAAGCCGTATATCAGGCGCTCCAGAAGGTACGTGGCGGGCATCGCGTAACCGACCCACAAGCCGAAAGCCGCTACCGCTCGCTGGACAGGTTCACCATCGACCTGACCCAGCTTGCCAGGGACGGCAAGCTCGACCCCATCGTCGGGCGCGACAGCGAAGTCGCCCGCGTGATGCAGACGCTCATTCGCCGCACTAAGAACAACCCCGTGCTGATCGGCGGCGCGGGCGTCGGCAAGACCGCCATCGCCGAGGGCCTGGCGCAGCGCATCGTCGCGGGTGATGTGCCAGCGGAACTCAAGGACCGCCGTGTGCTCGCCCTCGACATGGGCGGGCTTGTCGCGGGCGCGAAGTTCCGCGGCGAGTTCGAGGAACGCCTCAAAGCTGTACTCGACGAGGTGCGGCAGGCACAGCGCGAGATTATCCTGTTCATCGACGAGATTCATACCGTCGTCGGCGCGGGCGCGTCGGAGGGCGCGGTCGATGCAAGCAACATGATGAAACCGGCGCTCGCTCGCGGCGAACTGCAAGCGATGGGCGCGACCACCGAGGATGAGTACCGCAAGTACATCGAGCGGGACGCCGCCTTGGAGCGCCGCTTCCAGCCCGTGCTGGTGGAAGAACCGGACGAGGAGACAGCAATCGAGATGCTCACGGCGCTGCGTCCGCGCTACGAGGCGCATCACAAGGTTCATATCGAAGATGACGCTCTTGCTGCTGCCGTCCGCTTAAGCGCGCGCTACATCTCGGACAGGCTGCTGCCCGACAAGGCGGTTGACCTCATAGACGAAGCCGCGAGCAAGCTCCGCATCGACGCGCAGATGCTTCCCCCGCATCTCAAGGACGCAGAGCACCGCCTGCGCCACCTCGAAGACGAGGAAGACGCCGCCGCTGAGATGGCAGACTACGAGCGCGCCGCAGAATTGCGCTCCGATCGGTTACGCCTCCAAGCCGAGTTCGACACAGAGCGTGACAAACTCACCGGGCGCATGGGAACGAAAGACCACAACGTTGTGCATGCGGAAGACATCGGCAGGCTCATCGCGATCTGGACGGGCATCCCCGTTGACCGCCTGCTGGAAGGCGAGGCCGAAAAGCTTCTGCACATGGAGGAGCGGCTGCACAACCGTGTCGTTGGGCAAGACGCCGCCATCACCGCGGTGTCGGACGCCATTCGCCGCGCCCGCGCAGGACTGAAAGATCCCAACCGGCCCATCGGAAGCTTCATATTCCTTGGACCGACCGGGGTGGGCAAGACCGAGCTCGCTCGCGCCCTCGCCGAATACCTTTTCGACGACGAGCAGAACATGGTGCGCCTGGACATGTCCGAGTACATGGAGAAGCACACCGTCTCGCGGCTCATCGGCGCGCCGCCCGGCTATGTCGGCTACGACGAGGGCGGGCAGCTCACTGAGGCTGTGCGCCGTCGTCCCTTCCGCGTCATCCTGTTCGACGAAATCGAAAAGGCGCATCCTGATGTATTCAACACGCTCCTGCAGATCCTCGAGGATGGGCGACTGACTGACGGGCACGGCAGAACGGTCGATTTCCGCAACACGCTAGTCATCATGACCAGCAACCTCGGCACTTCGGAGGCAAGCCGCCGCACAGCGGGATTTGTGACAGGCAGCCCACAGGGAGAATCGGCGCGCCTGCATGCGTCAGTGGACGAGGCGCTGCGCCGCACTTTCCGGCCCGAGTTCCTGAACAGGCTGGACGACACCATCGTTTTCGAGTCGCTCACATCGGAGCAGGTGCGGCACATCGTCGAGCTGATGCTGCGCGACGTCGAATCGCGGCTGACCGAACACGATGTGGCAATCGCACTGACAGACACTGCCAAGGACTGGCTTGCCGAAGCGGGCTTCGACCGGACATACGGAGCGCGACCACTGCGCCGCGCCATACAGCAGCACGTCGAAAACCCGCTGTCCAGGGGTATCATCGCGGGCGATTACACCGCAGGCGACACAGTGCGCGTGGACGCGAGCGAAGACGGCCTACTATTCAACAAGACCGCAGAATTAACGGACAAAGCAGCTTAACGCCTACTGCGCCGGCGCCTCGCTGAACATTGCAGCGATGTGTCGGCGCTGTATCTTGCCCGTCGCAGTGCGTGGCATCGTATCGATTATGTACACGCGGTCCGGCACCTTGAAGCCTGCAAGGTGCTCGCCGCAATAGGCGCGTATCGCATCCTCGTCAGTATCGGCTGACACCACCACCGCAGCTTGTACCGCCTCTCCGTACATTGTGTGAGGCACGCCGAAGCACACCGCCTCAGCAACCGCTGGATGCCCCAGCAACGCAGCGTCAACCTCCAGCGGCGAAATCTTCTCACCGCCGCGATTTATCAACTCCTTGAGGCGGCCCGTCAGCGTGAGCGTGCCGTCTGCATCGAGAAAGCCCTGGTCGCCCGTGCGGAACCAGCCATTCGTGAACGCCTCCGCATTCGCATCCGGATTATTGTGGTAGCCATGGGTAACATTCGCGCCCCTTATGACCACCTCAGCGAGTCCGCCTGTGCTGACAAGATTGCCGTCGTCGTCCATGATGCCAATGTCAACGCCCGTGCCCTTGCCCACCGTGCCCGGCATCCGGTCGCCCGGCGGCAGCAGGTTCGACGACATCTGATGCGACGCCTCTGTCATTCCGTATGCTTCCAGCACCGGCGCGCCGAACCGCGCCTCCAATTGCTCGAACACCGCAGGCGCAAGCGCCGATGAGCAAGACCTGATGAGCCTGAAACTGCTGTGTGGCGCGCCGTCTTCGTCCGCGCGCGCCAGCAAAATCTGGTGAATCGTCGGCACGGCTGAGTACCATGTCGCGCCGCTGTCCTTCTGCTCGCCCCAGAACCGGCTTGCGCTGAACCGAGGTGGCACCACCAGCGAGCCGCCAGTGCTCAGCGTTGACAGCGACACCCCAATGAGCCCATGCACATGGAACAGTGGCATCACCACCATCGCAATATCGTCGGGCGTCAGTCTGTATGTATCGCTGATATTCTTGATAGACGCCGCAAGGTTGCCGTGCGTCAGCGGCACTCCCTTAGGACGGCTCGTAGTTCCAGAAGTGTGCAGGAACAGCGCCACATCGTCGGGTGACGGCGCAGGCGCATCCCGCCGTGCGGTCAGAGTATCGCCGCCCTTTGATAGTGAAGTACGACCAGAATCGTCCAGCGATGCTTCGATTGTCGGAACGCCTAGCTGCGCCGCGGCTTCGCGCGCCGCGTGTTCGCCAAGCGGTAGTATAGCGAGCTGCGCTTCAGCGTCTTCCATGTAGAAGGTGAACTCGTCAGTCGTGTACGCGGAGTTCAGCGGCGCGGCGATTGCGCCCGCCCGCGCTACCGCTAGGAACACGACCATGAACTCCAGGCCGTTCGGCAATACGATGGACACCGCTCTGCCGGGCTGCACTCCCGCGCCCGCAAGCAATTCGGCGACGCGCTCAATCTCATCGCCGAACTCGGCGTATGTCACCTCTGCGCCGCCCGGAACGCTTATCGCCATGTCAGTGGCGCTCTGTGGATTCAAGATGTCGGCAAGTGTACTCAATTGTCCGCTCCCTATAGTCAATATGTTTAGTCGTCTCCGGTCGTCCCCAACGTGCCATTACCGGACTCCATACGACCCAACACAACACCTTCCAGCCGAGCGACACGCTCAGTCAGAGAAACTTCCAGCGTTGACATACGCTCTACCATCTCTATTCTCAGTTCCGCCATGCTTTCTTTCGTCTCCACCTCCAGCGAAGACATCCGCCCGCTCAGTCCAACTTCTAACGATGTCATTCGAGCTTCAATCCTATCCATGCGCTGCATTAGATAAATGAACGTCGTCATCTGGATGCCGATTACGGCAAACCCCATAGCAAGTATCGCGATAAGTTCGGGCGACATGCAGTCTCCTCTTCTGAAGCCTACGCCTCTGGCACACGGATTATAGCACGACTTATCGCATCCATCTTTTGCCACTAATGTCAGTGTCAGTTCGTCCTCACCATGCTACCATTGAGCACCAAGCAAACAAGTCAAGCCACACGGAGCGCGTCCCATCACGAGCATATCGGTCAACGACTCAGCCATCGCTACGACCAGACGCAGGCAGCCTCGAAGTCCTGCGCGATGTAAGCCTTGAAGTAGCGCCATCCGAGTTCGTCTCGCTGATTGGCCCCAGCGGATGCGGCAAGACTACGCTACTGCGCGCCATTGGCGGCTTGACCGACGCAACTTCAGGAAGCATCGAACTCTCCGGCGTCCAACCCAGAGAGTTGCAACGGCGCAGGGGTATCGGATTCGTGTCGCAGGACGCCGCCCTGCTCCCATGGCGTACCGCGCTCGAGAATGTGCGCCTGCCATTTCAATTGAATTCCGGCACCGCTGCGACTGATTCGTCCGCCCTTGCCGAGCAGACACTCAGCGCCGTGGGCCTCGCCGAATTCACGGACTACTACCCGCACCAACTCTCAGGCGGCATGCGCCAGCGTGTGGCGTTCGCAAGAGCGCTCGCAATCAGCCCGGGCCTGCTTCTTATGGATGAACCTCTAAGTGCCCTCGACGAGATGACCCGCGAAGAGATGCGCTACGAACTGCTGCGTCTCTGGGAACGGCAGAGGCCGACCGTCATCTTCGTGACGCACAGCATACCTGAAGCGGTGGTGCTGTCGGACAGAGTAGTTGTGCTGTCAGCGAGACCCGGCGAGGTCGCTGACGACATCGCGATAGACATTCCAAGACCACGCCTGCAAGAAGTGGAGCGATCAGACCGCTTCTTGGAGTACACATACAGGATCAAAGATGCGCTTTCGAGTGGGGTCGCCGCTGCAACGCCCGTCGGCTGAAAGCACGGATAAGCAGGCTGCGGACGGATCAGTGGAGACCCGTCGCTCGCGCCTTGCGTCCCCTGCCGTAGCCATAAGCTACATCCTGCCACCCGCTATCGCACTGGGCATGGCCGTCGTAGCATGGGAGGCTTGGGTGCGCGCCGCCGCATACCCGTGTACATCGTGCCCGCTCCATCCGCGGTAATTACCCGGCTTGCCGGAGACTTCGGCTTCTTCGCGCTGCACGGCGGAATCACGTTAGCCGAAGCGCTGGCATGGCTTCGCGCTCGGCGCTGCAGTGGCATTCACAGGCGCGACCCTCATGGCGCACTCACGCTTCCTGGAGCGCAGCCTGTTTCCCATCGCCATTCTCGTCAAGGTTACGCCCATCGTCGCAGTCGCGCCCCTATTCGTAATCTGGTTCGGCTTCGGTTCGCTTCCCAAAGTGCTGATAGCAAGCCTGATAACCTTCTTCCCCGTACTCGTGAACGCCATGGTCGGTTTGCGCGCCATCAACCCCGGAGCGCTAGACTTCTTCCGCTCACTGCACGCCTCGCGCACGGAGACATACCTGAAGCTGCGACTGCCAAGCTCGCTGCCCTACCTGTTCGCCGCGTTCCGCATATCCATCCCGCTCTCAGTCATCGGCGCGGTCGTCGGCGAGTGGTTCAGCGGTGACAGGGGCCTCGGCAGCGTCATCATCGTCGCGCACAACAACCTCGACATGCCGACACTGCTTTCTCCGCCATCCTAGTCCTCGCATTCCTCGGCATAGCCCTCACCATTATCACCGCTTACATAGAGCGCAAGATGCTCTTCTGGCACGACTCGACGATGGCTGTCTGATATCATAATGACATCAGCCCACGGAGAACGGAGACATGGATGGAAAGTTTATTCTCCTACTTATGTTTATTGGCACAGGTCTTTCATTTGCAATCATCACGGCGTTAATCGCCGATTCTAAAGGGAGCCGCGCCACAGGCTGGTTCTTCTACGGACTCTTTCTTGGCCCAATTGCCCTGGCTCACGCAATTGTCATACACAGGACGCTTGAAGAAGAACAGAAGCGACATCTGCTTGCAGGACGTGACCCGTGCCCCAATTGTGATGAGTACATATCTCCAAAAGCCTTCGTCTGTCCCCACTGCCAGCGAGACATTGAGCCGTCAGCGCGAACCCGGGGCAGCGCATCCTGAACCAGGCAGCGCATTGTTTGATTTCTCAATTCGTATAGCCTAGTCTTAAATCCGGTTGTTGATAGTCAATCACAGTCGAGACTGATCAAGGTTGTAACAGCCTTGTTTCGCCTAACTATTCAGAAACGGACAACAGGACATTGCACTCGATATCCAAACTAACGCTATTCAACCTCATAGCCTCGCAGCCCTGCTAATTGTCGGAGCAGCGGCATGCGCCCACCCGAACCCGAAAAAGTCGTCTTCATGGCGGCTACAAGCCGCAGGCGAACCTGCCCTTCGCCGCCGCCTACATCGCGCAGGAAAAGGCTACTTTGAGGAGCAGGGGCTTGATGTGGAGATACGCCACGCATCCAGCGGCGAGCACTTACAACTGCTTATGTCCGGCGATGTCGATCTTCACCACCGCCGACGCCGCATCCGTACTGAAGCGCCGTCAGACCCGGGTCTGCCCATCGTCGCCTTTGCCCTATTCGGACAGCGCGGACAGCAGGGCTTCCTCGCGCTCAAAGACAGCGGCATTGCCACGCCCAACGACTGGGAGGGCAGAACTTTCGGCTACAAAGTCTCGATTCCACCCGACTATCTCGCCATCGTCGAGTCCCAGCAGGTTGACCGCGGCGAGGTACAGGAAGTCCGCGTCGGCTTCGATCCGCGCGTGCTCACCGAGGGACAGGTTGACCTCCTTGCCGTCTTCAAGTCCAACGAGCCGGATACGGTAAGGCGCATGGGCTTCGATGTAACCCTGTGGGACCCCGCCGACTTCGGTGTGCCGAGCCTCGGCTTGACCTACATCACCCGCGAGGAGTTTGCAAACTCCGACCCCGACAAGGTCGAACGCTTCCTCAAGGCGACGATGAAGGCGCTCGAATACGCTGAGGCGAACCGCGACGAGGCGGTCGAAATAGTCCTCAAGTACGCGCCCGAAGAAGACCCAGCGCACCAACGATACATGCTCGATACCGAGCTTGCCGACGCTGTTAGTCCCCTGACCGACGAGCGCGGCTTGGGGCAAATGTCGGCGCGCAGTGGCAGGCGCTCTACGACCACCTCACTGCGCACGAAGCCCTGCCGAAGCCATTTGACTACAACGAAGCCTTCAACGCAGATTTCCTGGACGCCATCTACGACGGCAGCACACTCGAATGGCCCTAACATAGAAGTCGCTTCCCCCTGGGTGGGAAAGGCCATAAATTGGTGTTAAACTGCTAAACTAAATGATACCTAATATCTAAAGTACTCCGTTAGCCTGCGCCAAAATCTATGAACCAGAACGTACTGATAATGCAGTCCGGCGGCTGCACACCCGTCCTCAACAGTAGCCTGTTCGGACTCGTTCAGGAAGCGCTATCACACCCCGACGATTTCGGCGAGATATATGGCGCGCACTACGGCATGGAAGGCGTCCTCAGCAGCGACCTGATAGACCTGAGCCGCACACCCGCCGACGAATGGCAGCGCATCGCCCAAACGCCTGGCGCCGTGCTCGGTTCTACCCGCCGCAAGCTGCACGACGAGGATGTGCAGCCGATCCTGGACACGCTTCGCAAACACAACATCGGCTGCTGGTTCATCATCGGCGGCAACGACTCCGCGACCACCGGTCACAGCGTCGGGCAGGCGGCGGAAGCGGCAGGTCTGCCCCTCGGCGTCATCAATGTGCCCAAAACCATCGACAACGATCTCGTGCTCACCGACCACAGCCCCGGCTACGGCAGCGCAGCCCGCTTCGTCGCGCTCGCCACTATGGGCGCGGGACGAGACGCCGAATCCATGGGCATCGCCGCGCCAATCACCATCATCGAAGTCATGGGCAGGGACGCAGGCTGGCTCGCGGCCGCATCCGCATTTGCAAAGAGCGACGAACGAGACGCCCCGCATTTCATCGGCGTCCCCGAACTCCCGCTAGACGAGACTCGCTTCCTAGACTGCATCGAAGACGCTTATCGCAGGTACGGCTTCGCGGTCGCAGTCATCGCAGAGAACATCCGCACGCCCGAAGGTACGCCCATAGGAGAACAGGGAGGCCGTGGCATGTGGACGACTTCGGTCACCCATACTACGACGGCCCTTCGAGGTATCTCGCCGCGCTTGTAAGTGGGCGGCTCGGCGTGCGAACCCGCTATGAGAAGCCCGGCACCATACAGCGCTCCATGATGGCTTGCGTATCCCACTCAGACGCGCAAGAGGCAGAGATGGCAGGACGCGCCGCCGTCCGCAGCGCCATCACAGGCGAGCGTGACATCATCATCACTCTGGAGCGCGCGCCGGCAGCGACTACGATTGCACGACCGGCACAGCCCCCCTCGCGGCAGTCCGCAGCAAAGTCAAGCGCATGCCCTCCCGACTACCTGGACCCCGCCAACCACTTCGTCACGCAGTCATTCCTTGACTACGCTCGCCCGCTGCTCGGCGACGCCCTCCCCCATTACGGCAGGCTGCAATAGCGAACTCCCTTCCGTTCGCTCTGAGACTGCTGATAGGTCAGCCAACTCTTTAATCCGCATGCCCCACGCATAGATATTATATCTTGCCTTTTTCTTGACACGCCCATAGTCGTCTTGTACGATTATTGTGCTTAACAATTAAATACATAATCTCTTATCAAGAGTGGCTGAGGGACCGGCCCTGTGAAGCCCGGCAACCTTTTCGCGTCATGCGGCGCGTGAATCGGTGCTAAATCCGGAGAGCCTGAAATGGCTCGGAGATGAGAGCAGCAAGCATCACAAACTTCTCTCATCAGAGAAGTATTTTTTTGCCCATTTTGAGTAAGAGTTCCTTCCCACTTGATGAGGGAAGGTTAGGTTGGGGGTGACTTGAATCCCCTGCGTACACGAAGAAATAGCAAGTCAAACCAAAAATTACCAGTCACGGAGGAAATAATGCCTACCCAGAACCCGGGCGAACCCTACTACCGCATCAGCATTGATGAAGCCGCAGAAATGCAGGCATCCGGCGACTCGGTCGTCGTTGACGTGCGAGCGTTGAACGAATACGCAGAAGGCCATGTCAAGGGCGCGCTCTTCATCCACGTGGACACCCTGCTAGGCCGCATAGACGAGCTTCCACAGGACAAGGACCTGCTGTTCATCTGCGCCATCGGCGTCCGCAGCGGACTCGCCGCCGAGATGGCAGCCGCAATGGGCTTCGACTCAGAGCGCCTCTACAACATCGAAGCAGGCACTCCCGCATGGATCGAGGCGGGCAAGCCCACCAGCTACGGCGCGGACGAATAACTCGCCAATCCAACTTACACTGCCCATTCTGTTAGTCCCGAAAGAACGAAGGACAAAATATGACCGTACTCGTCGTCGGCTCGGTCGCCTACGACTCAGTTACCACGCCCGCCGACAGTCGAGACGACTCGCTCGGCGGTTCGGCGACATATTTCTCTGTCGGCATCAGCCGCTTTGCGCCCGTCAGCCTCGTCGCCATCATTGGCGAAGACTTTCAGGAGCGTCACATCGAACTCCTGCGCTCGCGCGGCGTCGATATAAGCGGCTTGCAGCGGCAGAAGGCAAGACATTCCGCTGGGCAGGCGAGTACTACTCTGCCGACCTCAACTCGCGCACCACGCTGGACACGCAGCTCAACGTCTTCGCCGACTTCTCGCCAAAGCTCAGCGCCGAGCAGCGCCGCTGCCCATACCTGTTCCTTGCCAACATAGACCCTGAGCTTCAGTTAGATGTGCTAAACCAGATGGAGCAGCGTCCCAACCTTGTCGCACTCGATTCCATGAACTTCTGGATTGACGGCAAGCGCGACGCGCTCAACAAGGTCGTCAGCAGCGCCGATGTGCTCTTCATGGACGAAGGTGAGGCGCGCGACTTCGCATGCGAGGGCAACCTCGTAACCGCAGCTCGGCGCATCATGGCAATGGGCCCCAGCGCGGTCGTCGTAAAGCAGGGCGCGCATGGCGTTCTGGTCTTCAGCGGCGACACCGTTTTCTCCGCGCCCGCATTCCCGCTCGACCATGTCGTTGACCCCACCGGTGCGGGCGACACATTCGCGTCAGGCTTCATCGGCTACATCGCCGCCACCGGCGACAAGACACCCGACGGCTACCGCCGCGCAGCAGTGCTCGGCTCAGTAATGGGATCGTTCTGCGTGCAGGGCTTCAGCGTGGACAAGGTGTTGACGCTAAGCATGCAGGACATCGAAGACCGCTTCCGCGCCTTCACCCAACTCACCGCCTTCGCTCCATTGCGAGACGGCGATTCACTTTTTAACCGCATATCAAAATAATCCCGTGTATCCATGAGGAGGATAGATTGACCACACAAACCACCAAGGGGCATATCGCAGACCCCTCACTTGCATCCGACGGCATCCGCCGCATCCACTGGGCGGCGCGCGAAATGCCCGTGCTGCGCCAGATCCGCGAGCGCTTCGCAAAGGAAAAGCCGCTCACAGGCTTGCGCGTAGCGGCCTGCCTGCATGTAACCAGTGAGACCGCCAACCTGCTGCTCGCGCTGCAAGACGGCGGCGCCGAAACCGCCATCTGCGCCAGCAACCCGCTCAGCACGCAGGACGATGTGGCAGCCGCGCTAGTTCACGAGTACGGCATACCCACCTTCGCCATCAAGGGCGAGGACAGCGAGACCTACTACTCGCACATCAACTCCGCCCTTGATACCAAGCCCCATATAACGATGGACGACGGCGCGGACCTCGTGGCGACGCTTCACACCGACCGCACCGATGCGCTCGACGGGCTCATCGGCGGCTCAGAAGAGACCACAACAGGCGTCATCCGCCTTCGCAGTCTTGCCGAAGCGGGCAAGCTCAAGTACCCAATCATCGCCGTCAACGACGCCGACACCAAGCACTTCTTCGACAACCGCTACGGCACGGGCCAGAGCACCCTCGACGGAATCACCCGAGCCACCAACATCCTCTGGGCGGGCAAGACGGTGGTCCTCGCCGGCTACGGCTGGTGTGGACGCGGCGTCGCCCTCCGCGCTCGCGGCATGGGCGCGCAGACAGTCGTAACCGAGATCAACCCTATCCGCGCGCTCGAAGCCGCGATGGACGGCCATCAGGTCATGAGCATGGACAACGCCGCGAAGATCGGCGACATCTTCATCACGCTCACCGGCGGAATTAAAGCCGTCGGACGCCAGCACATCGAGGTGATGAAAGACGGTGCAATTCTCGCCAACAGCGGCCACTTCAACGTGGAGATCGACATCCCCGCGCTTGAGGAACTCGCAGACGGCAAGCAGGAAGTGCGCCCATTCGTTGACGAGTATCTAATGGGAGACGGAAGGCGTCTCAACCTGCTGGGTGAAGGACGCCTCATCAACCTCGCAGCCGCCGAGGGGCACCCTTCCGCTGTCATGGACATGAGCTTCGCCGACCAAGCCCTCTCAGCCGAGTACCTTGCGCAGTTCGCGCACTCGCTCAAGCCGCAGGTGTACGACGTGCCCCGCGACATAGACGAAGAGGTCGGACGCCTGAAGCTGCTGTCCATGGGCATCACCATCGACACGCTTACGGCAGAGCAGGAAGAGTACCTCGGAAGCTGGGAAGTAGGAACTTGAACACCCTTCTCAAAGAACATACAGAACCGAAGCAGTACCCAAACTGCTTCGGTTGCGGCGCGGACAACCCCATCGGGCTGCGCCTGCAATATCGGCGCATCGGCGATGCGGTCGTAACCGAGTTCACGCCCGGCGACGAACACGAGGGCTGGCCCGACATAGTGCATGGGGGCATCATAACGACATTGCTATACGAGGTGATGGAAAACTTCGCATACCGCAACGGCACAGTCGCAATGATGCGAAGCATGCACACTAGCTTCCGCAGACCCGCGAAGACCGGCAGGCGCATCACGGCAACAGCGCGCCTTGAAGTGAGCACCGACCGCGAGATGTCCGTAACCGCGACCCTGACGCAGGACAAGCTCATTGCCGAGGGCAGAGCCAAACTCATCACCCTCACGCAGGAGCGCATCGCAAGCCTGGGCATAGCCCAACCATAATACCAATTATCCTAGTCCACCCCGTTAGCACAAAAATCTCAGGGAGAAGAAAATTGAGCCACACCTTTACAGACTCCGCCTCATACCTGTTCACTTCAGAATCGGTAACAGAGGGACACCCGGACAAGCTCTGCGACCAGATTTCGGACGCGGTTCTTGATGCCATCATCGCCGACGACCCCAGGGCGCGCGTCGCCTGCGAGGTCTGCACGACGACGGGCCTTGTCGTCGTCATGGGCGAGATTACCACCACCACCTACGTGGACATCGCTGCTATCGTGCGCACAACCATCCGCGACGCCGGCTACATCGACTCCCGATACGGCTTCGATTACCAGTCCTGCGGCATCGCCGTCTCCGTGCATGAGCAGTCCCCGGACATCATGCACGGCGTTGACCGCGCCTCTTGAAGTGCGCGACGGCAGCGGCGACTACGACGACCTCGAGGCGGTTGGCGCGGGCGACCAGGGCATGATGGTCGGGTTCGCATGCAACGAGACGCCCGAACTGATGCCCCTGCCCATATCGCTGTCGCACAAGCTCTGCCAGCGCATGGCGCAGCTTCGTAAGGACAAGACCTTGCCATACCTGCGTCCCGACGGCAAGTCGCAGGTAACCGTCGAGTACGAGTACGGCGTCCCAAGCGTGTCCACACCGTCATTATGAGCACGCAGCACAGCGAAGATGTGAGCCAGGATGTCATCGCCCGCGACCTGATAGAGCACGCGGCAAAGGCAATCATCCCCGCCGAACTGCTCGACGAGAATACGCAGTATTGGATCAACCCTTCAGGGCCGCTTCGTAACCGGAGGTCCCGGTAGGCGACACCGGACTCACGGGACGCAAGATTCTCGTGGACACCTACGGCGGCTTCGCGCGGCACGGCGGCGGCGCATTCTCCGGCAAGGACCCCACGAAGGTTGACCGCTCGGCCGCTTATGCTGCGCGCTATGTGGCAAAGAATATCGTAGCTGCGGGCCTCGCCGACAGGATGGAAGTAATAGTCTCCTACGCCATCGGCAAGCGTGAGCCGACTTCCATATCCATAGAAACTTTCGGCAGCGGGAAGATAGCGGACGAAAAGATAGAAGCGCTGATCAAGGACAACTTTGACCTGACGCCCGGCGGAATCATCCGCGACTCAAACTGCGCCGTCCAATATACAAGCAGACCGCCACCTACGGACACTTCGGCCGCGACGACCTGGACCTCCCCTGGGAGCACACCGACAAAGCCGACCTACTTCGCAGAGCCGCCCAAATAAATCAGAAAACTTCCATTTCGATCGAGGAAGCGCAACAAAGTCCCTTCCCCCTCGATGGGGGAAGGTTAGGATGGGGGTGATACATGGTGATTCCCTTCCTATCTGTGCTTCGATGTTAGCCTCCGCCTAGGACAAAAAATGCCCATAAAATTCGGAACAGACGGCTGGCGAGCAATCATCGCCGAAGACTACACCTTCGACAACGTGCGCCTCTGCGCCCAGGGTGCAGCCGACCTGATGAAGTACCACAGCCTCGCCTATCGCGGCTTCGTCGTCGGCTATGACACGCGCTTTGCATCCGCAGAGTTCGCAGCAGCCGTAGCCGAGGTAACCGCCGCAAACGGCATACCAACCTTGCTATGCGACAGAGCGGCGCCAACACCTGTCATAGCCTACAATCTAGTCGCCAAGGACGCAGGCGCAGGCGCGGTCATCACCGCAAGCCACAACCCCGCCACATACAACGGATTCAAGTACAAGCCCGACTACGGTGGCAGCGCATCACCTGAAATCGTCGAGGAACTCGAATCGCGTATCGCCGCCGCCGAATCGTCAGGCAGCGTCCAGCGCATACCGCTTCAGCAGGGGATCGCAAGCGGACTACTAGAATACTTCGATCCCGCGCCCGACTACCTCAACCACGTCGCATCACTCGTGGACTTGGCGGCAATCCGCAATGCCGGCCTGGACATAGTCGTGGACTCCATGCATGGTGCAGGCGCGGGCTACCTCGCCGAACTGCTCTCCGGTGGCTCTACCCGCGTCGTCGAGCTTCGCAGCGAACCCAACCCGGCTTTCCCCGGCATGGCGCAGCCTGAGCCGCTCGCCCACAACCTTGAGCCGCTCATCAACGAAATCTCCGACAGAACCGCCGACATCGGCTTAGCCACAGACGGCGACGCTGACCGCCTGGGCGTTGTGGACGACGACGGTCAATTCCTTACGACCCTGCAAACCTTCGCCCTGCTCTGCATGCACCAGCTCGACACGCTCGGCAGGCGCGGTCCCCTGGTGCGCTCCATCACCATGACCAGCATGATAGACAAGCTCGGCGCAATCTACGACGTGCCCGTGCATGAGACGCCCGTTGGCTTCAAGTACCTCGGTCCCGTCATGATGAGCGAAGACGCACTAATCGCAGGCGAAGAGAGCGGCGGTTACGCATTCCAGGGCAATGTCCCGGAGCGCGACGGCATCCTCAGCGGCCTAATGCTGTTGGACATGATGGTCAAGACCGACATGGGCATCCCGGACCTGCTCGGCGAACTGGAGACAAAGTAGGCCCCCACCACTACGACCGCCTGGACCTGCACTTCGACGAAAGCCAGCGAGACACCATCATCGCCCGCCTCCAACACATTGCCCCCTCAGCACTCGCAGGCAATCAGGTAGAGCATGTGGACACACAGGACGGCTTCCGCTACCTCCTCAGCGGCGGCTACTGGGCGCTAATCCGCTTCTCCGGCACGGAGCCCCTCCTCCGCATCTACGCCGAAGCCGAATCCCCCGAAGACGTCCGCCTCATCTCTGGAAGAGGCGCGCACCCTAGCGGGAGTGTAAGATTCAGCCCTGCTCGCCCTGCCGTTCCGCCGTATCGCGTCGCAATCGGCCCAAGTCGTGGACGGCCGGAAAAAACATGCCATCGGCCCGTCTCCGCTGCTGCGCTTCCTAGCGTCCATGTTCTGTCGCTAGTGAACTTGACACTCTTGGGATTGCACTTGCGCGGGTCTTAGACGCGGCACAACGAAAGTCTGATTCCGTATTTTCACACACACATAGTGGTACTGGACATTCCTGAGTGTCCACGCGAGAGGTAGGCAGAACGTCCTTGCGACTCAACCGCTCCGCCATTCGCTATGTTTGTCGTGCGCTTCTCTGGCAAGTTCCATCGTGGCACATACTCGGTCGCGGTGGGTCTTTTGCTGCCTTGTCTTATTGAGATGTCCGCTGTTTTTCCCCGTTGTGCGCAGAGTGCAACTCGGACGGGCGACGGTCGACAGGGTAGTACGTGCCTCACGGCGTAGCGAATCGCGGCCCTGTCAGCCCGACGAGCGTTACTACGAGCTCTTCACGACGTGCTATCCGATCCACGGAGACCGGCACGACAGCGCCCGCTTCACTCGATGGCCACATCTACGAAGTGCTGTACGCCGTGACCGCCAGCTCCACTAAGGCCTGGACTCACCATACCGAGAACGCATACTACCGACACGCCGGGTCGACCCACAGTATCAACTCTTTCACCTTCAAGTTTAGCTGCGCGAGCCGGAGTCACTGCACTCGTATCACGTGATCCGTAGAGGATGTGGCCAGGTCGCCGTCATGAGGCGACGCTGGTGGCGGGCGGAGGATCCGGGGACGTGGACGCCGTTAGCGTGGCTGCAATGGCGGTGCCGGGTCGATACCCGTAGTATCGTGCTGGCGCGCGAGTCGGTCGTGCAAGCAGGCGAATCGCTAAGGCTTTCTGAACGCTGGCGTTACCGTCGCGGTGTGTTAGCGAAGTCGCCCGGCGCGGAATCATCGATATCTTCTCCAGGTCGATGTGCCGCGCATCGCGAACAAGGAGGTCGTCGGGGTACAGGCCTCGGTGTTCAGTGCTCCTAGTGCGCTGCACGAACTCCAAGTCAGGGTCTGAGGAACAGGAAGTAAGAGGTGTGAGAGCAGACGACGCGACTGCCCGTCGTCCGTACCGCTGTTGGCGTTGGTTGAGTTCAGATAACCGCGCTTGGCCGCTATCCACCCTCCTCGGCTGGTGAGAGCCCCCATCGTCAGCGCATTGTTAGTGTTTCTTCGTTGTAACGACCCCCACCCCCCCCCCCCCCCCCCCCCCCACCCCCCCCCCCCCCCCACTGGCCCACCCGGTCGGCTAGTTTTCGGCGCGGAACATCGAGTAACCGTAAAGGGCCGGCGGTCGTCCGGTGGGTTGGGATTTGCGGAATCATAGAACCCGCGTCATAGGAGTGTGCAGTCCTGTTTCGCTGGATGCGGTTGCGGAGCGGGTATGATGCAGCAGGCGTGCGAGGAACCAGCGCCGTGGTAGTCGCTTGGCCGATGCCATCCGATCTTCCAGTGTCGCGACCATATATAGGCATCGCCTTTGTGTCGAAATTTTCTCGATTCGTACATGCTGATGGCGTTTTGCAACGTTCGCCGTTATAAGGGTACGGTGCGATAGGGGCTAGTTGCTCGTTGGAGCTCCAGAGCGCCCAAAACCGCCTCAAGACTACCGGAACGATCCGTCGGGGTCGAAGTCGCAGGACGAGATCGCATACGCGTTCTCTCCTCCGCGCCGTATACACGATTGAGGCAGAGAGTCTGTCGCGGCTGATCGAGCGTGGCAGCCGTGCTGCGGGCGATTCAAACTCGTCGAAGGACGGCGGTGTAGAATACGACATGTTCTCCTCGTCGTGTACTTCCAGCTATTGACTTCGTGCGATCGATCGGCGTATCGATGGCGATCCTTGACATCGTAAAACGGCCGCGCTTAGAGGTTTTGCCAGGCACCGCCTCTCCGCGTGCCTAGTTCGAAACCGCCCGCGTCGAATAAGGCTCATCGGCGAGACCCGCATGGTGTGGGAGAGCAGCATCGGACATCGACGCTTCGCTCAGGTCGCCTTCCGTCGCATCGCAGGCCGTAGCTTAGCACGCCGGGTTCCCTAGAGTTGGGCGGACAATCGACGACCGGCGCAAGCTGCGGTCTACGACTACGTTCTTGTATGAGTCGGCCCCCGTCGGGCGGTGTCACACCAAGCGATTTTGCGTCCAGCATTGGACTCGCTGGCGAATTTTCGTGGGAACGCTCGGCACGTGCTAGGTCGGCTGAGCTGGCGTCGCTGAACGAAGCCACCAGCCGCAGCGTTACTCGTGCGATTCACCGTGATAGGGGTGGGGGCTAGAATGTTTGTATGGTCTCGAAACAGGTACGGGGTCTGGCATCCGCTGAGATACGGGCGCGGGATCGCGACATAACTCTCCTCGATGAGGTTCACCGCCCGGCCTAAGGATCGAAAACGGACTACGTGAGTCCAAGAGATCCGAGGCTTGTCGGTTGGCTGGATGTGGTAGTGGGATGGGCGTAGTTATGGTGGTAGTTAGGGGTTGGTTAGGGGATGGATTGGTTTGGGAGTGCTGGGGCTTGGTAAGTTAGTGTTTCCTTGTATTTAGACCTGCCCGCCACAACGCTCGATGGGACACTGGTTCTCTGATGTCGGTCGGTCGGCCGCTTCTGGTTCGAGTTGCCGTAGTTGTGCCACAGGAAGGCCGCGGGACAGGTCGACGCTCGATTGCAGGGAATCGCTATGGGGACTGTTTCGGTGGTGCGCTTCCCAAATCGTTGGGACTCATCGGTAGTGTCTCGGACCGATTGGTCTTCGGCGGAGAGTATGTTTTTTTTTTTTTTTTTTTTATACGAATTGACCCATGCGTTCGACTTCGAGGATCGAGCGCACTGGCGAGGTTGTCTTCGTCGGCCGGGAACGTCTCAAAGTAGACAGTGCTGTCGAACCCAGTTGTCGCGTCGTAGGACCAGCCGCGCGCGGCGAGTCGCTCAGGCCAATCGGGCTGTGTGGTCGGCGTGCTTTTAGACGAGGCTGTTTTCGGTAGGTGCGCCATGCCGGCTTTTCCCCGTAGCCTGACAGTGCTGCGAAAGTCACGAGCTAGGTAAGGTGATGTTGACGTGATCTGGACTGCTGGCGCGGGGTAGTTGGGCGTTGAAGAGCAGGAACCGAAGGCCGTTGTCGAGTCGGTACTCGGTGACGCCTCACGGTAGCACCTATTAGTTGAGGGTGGCTCGGCGGCGAATGGAGTTCTATTGTCGGTTTTCCGCCGTCGGGGGTGGCCGAGGGCGGATCAGGAGACAACGCGCCAAGTATGAGGACTTGGATCGTTGTCATGATGTGTGGTTCTCATGGCATTTGGGCTCCTACTGACTGTGCGCCTCGTTGTCAGATGGCACACGCGGCGCCATCGGCGATTGTGTTCTGCTTGCGGTTTCGTTCGCAGTTCGGAGACCGCTCTACGCGGCGTTCAGCAGGCCGGTTTCGCGGACGAGGCAGGGATTCGCGGTCGTCCTGTCACCAGTGAGATGGGTTTAAGTCTCCGGATTTCTCACTCGGGCCCGTCGCGAGGGAGTCGATGGACGCCACTGTGCGGTGCGCACGGACCCTAGCATGGACGCTGAAGGCATAGTTGACAATTGTTGAAGTGGCTTGGCGGGAGTTATCGCCCCGGCATAGCGCGTGACCGTGCGCGTGCCGTAGCGGGAGGCTTGGTGAGAAATCCGGTCTTAGGCCTGAGGGCTTGGCCTGTCGTAAGAGATTTAACATCCATGCGGAATCGTGATATGGCGCATCTCCGACAACATCGTCGATTCATGAGCACGTGGCTTTGTGTATCTCTGATAAACGGCTGTACGATGAAACGTGGTGTTGCGACCGATGTGCCGATTGACTCCTGGCAATCCACAGTCGACAAGCTCTTTGCGTATGCGCCGTGGTGTACGCGTAGTAATCTTGGCCTTTATCGACTGATTCCGTTGCGTCCGTAAATAGTTTGCTTTGGCCCCATACTGCCCCTGGCTAACTCTCAGGCCGTTTCTTTATACGGCGGCGAGTGTGAGGTCCGTTGACACGTGAGCATGACTTACCACTCCTCGTTTCAGGATAGGTGAACATGTCTAGCCCGCTTCTCAGGACTTGCTGGCTGGCGCATGTTGCTAACAGCCCTGTCCGGAGAAATGGCGTTACCACCGTGTGCCGATTTCAAAACTATCATAGGAAAGTAGGGTTAAGAGTGGCCAGC